AAAGTCCTGATTCAAACACAAGCCTGTCTTGGAGAATTCTATTCTTACGTCACAAAGGGAAGTATCCATAGCAACCGATATATACACACATATATCGGTTGCTATGGATACTTCCCTTTACATACACACATTACTACAGACATACACACATTACTACAGACATACATACACACATTACTACACACATACACACATTACTACAGACATACACACATTACTACAGACATACATACACACATTACTACACACATACACACATTACTACAGACATACACACATTACTACAGACATACACACATTACTACACACATACACACATTACTACACACATACACACATTACTACAGACATACACACATTACTACACACATACACACATTACTACAGACATACACACATTACTACACACATACACACATTACTACAGACATACACACATTACTACACACATACACACATTACTACAGACATACATACACACATTACTACATACAGTGTTACTATTTCTTGAAACCAAAACAGGAAAACTACTTACTTCCTTACCTCCTTACCTCCTTACTTCCTTACTTCCTTACCTCCTTACCTCCTTACTTCCTTACCTCCTTACCTCCTTACTTCCTTACTTCCTTACTTCCTTACCTCCTTACCGCCTTACCTCCTTACTTCCTTACCTCCTTACTTCCTTACCTCCTTACTTCCTTCCCTCCTTACCTCCTTACTTTCTTACTTCCTTACTTCCTTACCTTCTTACTTCCTTACCGCCTTACCTCCTTACTTCCTTACCTCCTTACTTCCTTACTTCCTTACCTCCTTACTTCCTTACCTCCTTACTTCCTTACCTCCTTACTTCCTTACTTCCTTACTTCCTTACCTCCTTACCGCCTTACTACCTCCTTACTTCCTTACCTCCTTACCGCCTTACCTCCTTACTTCCTTACCTCCTTACTTCCTTACTTCCTTACCTCCTTACCTCCTTACTTTCTTACCTCCTTACCGCCTTACTTCCTTACCTCCTTACTTCCTTACTTCCTTTCCTTACCTCCTTACTTTCTTACTTCCTTACTTCCTTACCTCCTTACCGCCTTACTTCCTTACCTCCTTACTTCCTTACCTCCTTACCTCCTTACTTCCTTACTTTCTTACTTCCTTACCTCCTTACTTCCTTACTTTCTTACCTCCTTACCGCCTTACCTCCTTACTTTCTTACCTCCTTACCTCCTTACTTCCTTACTTCCTTACTCCCTTACTTCCTTACCCCCTTATTTACTCCCAAAGCGAGGACTCCCTGGGTTAAGATAAAAGTCCTGATTCAAACACAAGCCTGTCTTGGAGAATTCTATTCTTACGTCACAAAGGGAAGTATCCATAGCAACCGATATATCGGTTGCTATGGATACTTCCCTTTACATACACACATTACTACAGACATACACACATTACTACACACATTACTACATACATGCACACATTACTACATATATACACACATTACTACATACAGTGTTACTATTTCTTGAAACCAAAACAGGAAAACTACTTATTAATTAATAAATATTAATAACACATACTTAAGATATAGAAACTGTAGTAACAATGTGGGTTACGCTGCAATCTCACTAAGGCGCCGGTGTAAAAAGACCTAATGTACGGCGTCTTCTTTCCTCTCAAAAACGTCTTTACAGGACGGTCCTAAAGTCGCTCTTGGTCCAAAGCTAGTTTAGCCGCTGTGGACTTTTGAATCCACTCGGTAAATGAACGGAGCTAGTGCAGCTAACGAATGCCCCGCGGCCATTTTGAAAAAGCCCACAGAAGGCAACAGTGGTGGTACATTACTTTTAACAGTGGAGATAGTTGTCAATACAGTTTATGGTGAGAACAAATACATCCAGTTCAGATAAAAATGTGCTCTTTTTTTTAACCAAACAGAGATTTCGAAATCAATTTGGGCAATGAATCTGAATGTTCCGTGTCTGTTTTGGATTAATAAACCTGAGAGTGAGTCACTTTAATAAATGCAAAACATGTGTGTGTGGTGGAGCGCCAAGTGACAAACCAAACAAAACAAGTAGACCAAAGTCTGACTGGATGGTAGTCTTTAATTCACTGAGCATAATTCTCCATCTGACGGCGACACATCAAAATATATTTAGGTAAAACACAGAATCTGCATTTCCAACATTATTGTGTACAACGGCAAAGAAATTAACAAGTGAAGAAGCTGTGAAAGTACGCACTGCAAAAAATGATCAAATATGTGGTAGTAAAAGCTTGAATCGAGCGGTTTTTATCTTAATTTGTGCACATTCTGAGTCTTAAAACAAGATTCTCCAACGGGACAAAGCCACCTAGTCTTCTGGCCACCCAGGAAAAGCCTTGTTCCAGCTTCTTCCCTCTGGCAGAAGATACTGTTCTCTGAGATGCAGGACATCTCGTTATGCTAATAGTTTTTTTCCACGAGCTGTTATCAGTTTGAACAGAGCACTTTAATGTTTTTGCACTCGTATAGATCTGTTTTAAGTTGGTCAACTTCACGGTGACATTTGTTTACTGTTTTTAAAATTTGTTTTATTTTTGTCTTTTAATGTTGTTTGTGTCTGTACTTGTCCTGTGCACATTGGGAACTTTTACTAATGTATTCCAATGTAGTGTTACTGCAAATGGCGAAATAAATGAATCTTATGGATGACTCTTAACTTCCTACTTCTCAACCCGGAGAAGACAGAAGTGATCCTACTCGGTCCGAAGCGCCTGCGTGACTCCCTCACTAACCAGATGGTTACTCTCGATAATGTCAGTATAATACCCAGTAACACTGTGAGGAATCTTGGAGTCATTTTTGACCAAGAACTCTCCTTCAAGGCTTATATAAGCCAAGCAACTAAAACGGCGTACTTCCACTTACGGAACATCGCTAAAATTAGGAATTTCCTTCCTAAAAGTGACGCGGAAAAACTCATTCACGCGTTTGTCACCTCAAGGCTCGACTACTGTAACGCTTTACTGGCAGCGTGCCCTAAAGCCTCTTTGAAGAGCTTCCAGCTCGTTCAGAATACAGCAGCTAGGATCTTAACAGGTACCAAAAGGAGGGAGCACATAACTCCGGTGTTAAAATCACTCCACTGGCTCCCTGTGGAGTACAGAATAAAGTTTAAAATCCTACTCTTAACATATAAAGCCATAAATGGCTTGGCTCCTTCTTATCTCCAAGACACGTTAGTGTCGTATCAACCAGGTCGAGCGTTGCGCTCACAAAACGCCAGACGTCTGGTGGTCCCTAAGGTCTCAAAGGTCACTGTTGGTGGCAGAGCATTTAGCTACCAAGCTCCTTTACTGTGGAATCAGCTTCCCATTTATGTTAAGGAAGCAGATACGGTCTCCACATTCAAGGCCAGGCTTAAAGCACTTTACTTTAATTTAGCATATAATTAGGTAATATATAATATGTAGTGTATATATTATATATATATGCTGTATTATGTTATATATTATGTATATATTATTCAATAATGTATTGTGTTATGTTGTATATTATGTTATATATTATTCAATAATGTATTGTGTTATGTTGTATATTATGTTATATATTATGCTGTATGTTATTCTTTATTCAAGGCTAGGTTTAAAACAGTCCTCTTTAGTTTAGCATATGGCTAGGAAGGTAAGACTCGGAGAAGGTTAAACTCCTCAGAGTGTTAGTCAAGCTGCATAGGGAGTCAGTTTGCTGGGAGAAGTATGGTAACTTGAGCACTATCCTCTCCTCCTTCCTACTTTATCTGTTTAGCATTTTTTAGGATTCTGACTGTAGTTTGTTCATTGCTATTCACCCGTTGTCCCATTGTCTGTTTCATGGTACGATGACGGGATCTCTGAGCCTGGCCTCTTCCATCTACACCTGCGGACTGCCCCGCCCGACCCGCCTGGGAGTGCTTCAGTCCTGCACCGGACCTGTCCACGTTCAGCGTCCACTGGTCCACGTTCTGTAGCTAGCTTACTGTAGGTCCTAGATCATTAGCCTGTCCGTCCGGAGGAGCGGATCCCTTTCTCATATGGGTCTCCCTCCCTGTGGGTTTCCCTAGTTCTCCCCCAAGGTTTCTCACTTTTTCCCACTGGGTTTTTTAAGAGTTTTTCCTTGTCGATGCAGGAGGGTCTTGTTGGACAGTTAGTGTCCAACAGAAAGGATTGGTGATGATCAGGACACTTTAGCATTCTACAACATGTATGGACATTTTCTTCTGTGTGTGCTTTATATTCTTCATGTGTTTTAACTGTTGATTCTCTGACCTGTGTTGGTGATTTCAATGGTTTTGTTAAGTCCTCTGAGATGACTTCTGTTGTGACCTAGGGCTATACAAGAATAAATTGTATTGTATTGTATTGTATTGTATCTGAATCTAGTCTCAATTTCAAAAACAGCAGCTTTTTTAACTTTAATTTTTTTTGTTCCTGTTGGAAAATATTGTTTTAAGGCAGTCAGAATGTGCACAAATTAAGTTCGTTTTGCCAAATTTGACCAATTTTTGTTACTTTTTTTTTACCACTTTTTGCAGTGCAGCCCATACTTGCAAGTTACATATCAGAATTCATCTCTCTTATTTGTTTGTATACGATTTCAGTAAGATAAAGCTTTTTTTTCTTTTGTACACACCTGTATGCGTAACACCAGGGCTCAAATCACAAAATACTCCAAATGGTAACAAAACAATAGTGTTTACAATGATTCTATTCACACTTCCGTCATTTACATCTATTCACAGGATGTAGCACAGACTTAAATAACATCAGTCTCAAAGTCTCTCTTCGTGTACGTGTGTGATACAAGAGAGTGAAGGTGCAGAATCCACGCCTCCACAAGTCTCTCTGTTTCATCTGCACTCAGCTCTCTGCGCCCAGAGAATGTGTCTCTGTAAAAGTGTGGATTGGCACAAGGCGTGGGACGTCCCGTTTGTGGACAGGGCAGAGCGAGGCCTCGGGCGAACGACAGCACAGCACTGGAAGCACGGTCACAGCACCTCTGTAGAGGGAGAGAGAGAGAGAGAGAGAGAGAGAGAGAGAGAGAGAGAGAGAGAGAGAGAGAGAGAGAGAGAGAGAGAGAGAGAGAGAGAGAGAGAGAGAGAGAGAGAGAGAGAGAGAGAGAGAGAGAGAGAGAGAGAGAGAGAAGAGAGAGAGAGAGAGAGAGAGAGGAAGAGAGAGAGAGAGAGAGAGAGAGAGAGAGAGAGAGAGAGAGAAGAGAGAAGAGAGAGAGAGAGAGAGAAGAGAGAGAGAGAGAGAGAGACAGACAGAGAGAGAGAAGAGAGAGAGAGAGAGAGAGAGCAAAAGGTAAGATTTTTTTAAGTCATCATTAAAGGGCCCTAATCTGTCCTTATAATATTGTCTCTTGGATTTCAAAATAGATTTTCCAGCCCCTAAATCTTGTTATTGTTTTCATTTCGATGTCCCGCCCTCCACTGTTTCACCAATCAGAAAGTCTGTGATCCGGGCGCCAGAACTCACCGCGTGGGGCTAATCTCACTGGTAAAGTACCATGTGGCGCAGAACTAAAAAAGGTCTCTTTATGATTCTCAAATCATTAACGACAAAACAAGGAATAAAACCAGGACTTCTATCTTTGTGAAAAAGGTGTTGGTTATAGATTTGTTGTTGACAAAACTCTTGTCTATTCAGCTGTTATGGTCCCAGCTGGATTCGTCTGCATATCTGGCAACCTGAGTCAGGGAGAGTGGGAGAGGCTGCAGTACCACTTTTGGCCACATGTTTACATACTGCTCCTTTAAGAGGAAGAAAGGAAGAAGAATTGGAGCCTAGTTTTTAGTTGGACACTGTGTTAAATGCTATAATTTACGGCAAGGCAAGTTTATTTGTACCGAACAAAACAAGATCGAAACAATATGAGGCATTAAAATCATAAATAATCAAATTACATTTATCATGACAAAAATCCTTAATAGCTTGTTTTTTATAAAGGACCAATCGCTCCTCTGTGTTTGCTAATATTCCATTTCTTGTGTTCGGACTGATTCACTGATCTGTTGTCGAGGAATCGTCATCTTTGTAAAGACCTCGGAGAAAACGACGGTTGTGATTTAGCACTTTACAAAAATAAATGGACTTGAATGTCACAGGTATTTGAGCAAGACCCCACAACATATAGTTTAGAGGCAGATGTGTGGAATATATTGAAGAGTTCATTTGCAAAAACAGATATCTCCATTTTGAAATGTTGTCCAAGTATTGTAATCCTCTGGTTACAATCTTCAACATGGAACACTAGAATAGATCTGGCTTTTCACTAAACTACTTGGTAAAGAGACAATTGTAAGCTTTCCCGATATGTTTCCATGACACTTATCTCAACTGTAAAGCGCTTTGGGTGACCTTGGTCTGGAAAATGTGCTATATCGATAAACATTACTTTATCGAGAAGGAGAGACCAGAAAGAGACAAGAAAGAGACCAGAGTGAGACCAGAGAGACTAGAGTGAGACCAGAGAGAGAGATCAGAGAGAGAGACCAGAGAGAGAGAGAGAGACCAGAGAGAGACCAGAGAGAGAGACCAGAGAGAGAGACCAGAGAGAGACCAGAGAGAGAGACCAGAGAGAGATAAGAGAGAGACAATGAAGCGACCAGAGAGAGATCAGAGAGAGGGACCAGAGAGAGACAGAGAGAGAGACAGAGAGAGAGACTAGAGAGAGACCAGAGAGAGAGACCAGAGAGAGAGACTATAGAGAGACCAGAGAGAGAGACCAGAGAGAGAGACTAGAGAGAGACCAGAGAGAGAGACCAGAGAGAGAGACTAGAGAGAGAGACTAGAGAGAGACCAGAGAGAGAGACCAGAGAGAGAGACTAGAGAGAGAGACTAGAGAGAGACCAGAGAGAGAGACCAGAGAGAGAGACCAGAGAGAGAGACTAGAAAGAGACCAGAGAGAGAGACTAGAAAGAGACCAGAGATAGAGACTAGAAAGAGACCAGAGAGAGAGACTAGAAAGAGACCAGAGATAGAGACTAGAGAGAGACCAGAAAGAGACCAGAGATAGAGACTAGAAAGAGACCAGAGAGAGAGACTAGAAAGAGACCAGAGATAGAGACTAGAAAGAGACCAGAGATAGAGACTAGAAAGAGACCAGAGAGGGCTTTCCCAATATATTTCCATGGCACTTATCTCAATTGTAAAACGCTTTGGGTGACCTCGGTCTGTAAAATGCGCTCTATATATAAACATTACTTACTCACTTATCTGTTTTTGCATTTAAACGACTGGTTGGATATTGCCCTGGCACTTGCGGCCCGTGTTTGCTTTAAATATGATTCATGACTCTGGCTCGTCTTCAGTAAAGCAGGTGACGGTGAAGGATTTTAGCCGCTCGGGCGAGAGGCGGGAGCTGCTGACGCCGCTCGAGCGAATCCATCGGGAGAGTAATTACTCGGGGCTTGTATTTCTGACCCTTGGCTCATCACCTCTGCCATTCTCGACATTCCCGACGGGAACACTGGCCCGAGTTAGTGGGGCCACCGAGTGAAAGCTGTCATCGGCACCGACATATCTGCCTCTCATCCTCTTTCACAGCCGCTTCCACACGTCACATGTTGCAGAGCTCTCCGCGCACACGCCAACTCCGCAGGGGGTTTAGTGCTCACAAGGGCGACAACCTGCGTCTCAACCTGCTTCTCTGGGACGTGTTGTTGCTTCAGGCCCAATGACTGCAGCGCAAACTTTATTAATAATACAGGTTTGGAGTTGGTAAACACACATGATTTTAGATTTGTTTATTCAATAGGCTAAAGATAGAGATTTTAAACTTGTTTCTTTATTATGCTAAAGTTAGAGATGTTGTTTTATTCTATTTTAGTAAAGAGTTTTTGTTCATTTATCTGTTGTGCTGAAAATTGTCAATATGTATTTAAATAAATATTAATATCTCACCCATTCCACATTCCTGCTGCTATAGTATTATATCCATTAAGCTCTCTCTGGTCTCTGTCTCTCTCCCTTTTCTCTGCAGAGACCAGAGAGAGAGACCAGAGATAGACTCTGGTCTCTCTCTCTGGTCTCTGCTCTTTCTGTCTCGCTGGTCTCTCGCTGGTCTCTCTCTGGCCTCCCTCTGGTCGCTCTCTCTTGTCTTTCTCTGGTCTCTATCCAGTCTCCCTCTGGTCTCTCTCAGTCTCCCTCTGGTCTCTCTCTGGTCTCCCTCTGGTCGCTCTCTCTTGTCTCTCTCTGGTCTCTCTCAGTCTCACTCTGGTCTCTCTCTGGTCTCTCTCAGGTCTCCCTCTGGTCTCTCAGTCTCCCTCTGGTCTCCCTCTGGTCGCTCTCTCTTGTCTCCCTCTGGTCTCTCTCAGTCTCTCTCTGGTCTCTCTCTGGTCTCTCTCTGGTCTCCCTCTGGTCGCTCTCTCGTCTCCCTCTGGTCTCTCAGTCTCCCTCTGGTCTCCCTCTGGTCGCTCTCTCTTGTCTCCCTCTGGTCTCTCTCAGTCTCCCTCTGGTCTCTCTCTGGTCTCTCTCTGGTCTCTCTCTGGTCGCTCTCTCTTGTCTCCCTCTGGTCTCTCTCTGGTCTCTCTCTGGTCTCCCTCTGGTCTCTCTCTGGTCTCTCTCTGGTCTCCCTCTGGTCGCTCTCTCGTCTCCCTCTGGTCTCTCTCTGGTCTCTCTCTGGTCTCTCTCTGGTCTCCCTCTGGTCTCCCTCTGGTCGCTCTCTCGTCTCTCTCTGGTCTCTCTCTTGTCTCCCTCTGGTCTCTCTCAGGTCTCCCTCTGGTCTCTCTCAGGTCTCCCTCTGGTCTCTCTCTGGTCTCCCTCTGGTCTCCTTCTGGTCTCCCTCTGGTCTCTCTCTCTGGTCTCCTTCTGGTCTCCCTCTGGTCTCTCTCTCTTGTCTCTCTCTGGTCTCTCTCAGGTCTCCCTCTGGTCTCTCTCTCTGGTCTCTCTCAGGTCTCCCTCTGGTCTCCCTCTGGTCTCCTTCTGGTCTCCCTCTGGTCTCTCTCTCTGGTCTCCCGCTGGTCTCTCTCTGGTCTCTCTCTTGTCTCTCTCAGGGTTCCCTCTGGTCTCTCTCAGTCTCCCTCTGGTCTCCCTCTGGTCTCTCTCAGGTCTCTCTCAGGTCTCTCTCTGGTCTCTCTCAGTCTCCCTCTGGTCTCTCTCTGGTCTCCCTCTGGTCTTCGTACCTGTCACATGCTGTGGTTGGATGACACTTTTCTTCAGAAAGGCCTGGTCGCTGTTGAAGTCCAGGATGGGTGACGAGATCGTGCTGCTGTCGGACTTGGTCCCGTTGGTCGTGTTTCCGTGATTGGTCAGTTCCATGATGTCTTTGAAGTTGGCCGAATCTTGCTTGGGACTGAGGCCGTTGTCATGGCGACTCGGCGGGACCCCATTCACCACTTTGACTTTGGTGCTTGAACAGAGAAACAGGTCGTGGTTATTCAGCGACAGAAGAAGAAAACATAATTAAAGCCGCAAGCGGTTTTTACCTCTCAGTCTCCGGCGTCTGTCCGTTCTCCGTCTTGTGGTCGGACACGCTCAGGTCCGTCTGTGGCTGATGATCTGCTGCTGCTTAAACACAAACAGAAGAGAGATGAAGTGAAACAGCTTTCTACACTGCACGCCTTTGTGTTTGCTTGAGTCCTGAGGCCCCCAGACCCAGAGCTGTGGTCCAGGCCCAGAACCCCTCGCTCCAGAGACCAGAGAGAAATCAGATAGACCAGAGAGACCAGAGAGAGACCAGAGAGAGACAAGAGAGAGACCAAAGAGAGACCAGAGAGAGACCAGAGAGAGACCAAAGAGAGACCAGAGAGACACCAGAGAGAGACCAGAGAGAGACCAGAGAGAGACCAAAGAGAGACCAGAGAGAGACCAGAGAGAGACAAGAGAGAGACCAGAGAGAGAACAAAGAGAGACCAAAGAGAGACCAAAGAGAGACCAGAGAGAGACCAGAGAGAGACCAGAGAGAGACCAGAGAGAGACCAGAGAGAGACCAGAGAGAGAACAAAGAGAGACCAAAGAGAGACCAGAGAGAGACAAGAGAGAGACCAGAGAGAGAACAAAGAGAGACCAAAGAGAGACCATAGAGAGACCAGAGAGAGACCAGAGAGAGACCAGAGAGAGACCAGAGAGAGAACAAAGAGAGACCAAAGAGAGACCAGAGAGAGACAAGAGAGAGACCAGAGAGAGAACAAAGAGAGACCAAAGAGAGACCAAAGAGAGACCAGAGAGAGACCAGAGAGAGACCAGAGAGAGACCAAAGAGAGACCAGAGAGAGACCAGAGAGAGACCAGAGAGAGACCAGAGAGAGAACAAAGAGAGACCAAAGAGAGACCAGAGAGAGACCAGAGAGAGACAAGAGAGAGACCAGAGAGAGAACAAAGAGAGACAAAAGAGAGACCAAAGAGAGACCAGAGAGAGACCAGAGAGAGACCAGAGAGAGACCAGAGAGAGACCAGAGAGAGACCAGAGAGAGACCAAAGAGAGACCAGAGAGAGACCAGAGAGAGACCAGAGAGAGACCAGAGAGAGAACAAAGAGAGACCAAAGAGAGACCAAAGAGAGACCAGAGAGAGACCAGAGAGAGACCAGAGAGAGACCAAAGAGAGACCAAAGAGAGACCAGAGAGAGACTAGAGAGAGAACAAAGAGAGACCAGAGAGAGACCAGAGAGAGACCAGAGAGAGACCAGAGAGAGACCAGAGAGAGACCAGAGAGAGACCAGCGCTCGTGGCTTGTTCTAAAACCAGTGTTGAAGTCGGATTACCCACACATCAGCGGCAAACGGCCCCAGACCAAAGCACCAATGAAGGTGACAGAGAGAGAGACAGATAGACAGAGACAGAGAGACACAGACAGGGAGAGAGAGACAGATAGACAGAGAGAGACAGAAAGAGAGAGACAGAGAGATAGAGACACACAGATATACAGAGAGAGAGAGACACACACACACACACACACAAACACAGAGGGAGAGAGAGAGACAGACAGACAAATAGAGAGACAGATAAACAGCGAGAGAGAGATACAGAGACAGACAGAAAGAGAGACAGTGACAGAGAGAAAGAGAGAGAGAGAGAGAGAGAGAGAGAGAGAGAAATAGAGAGACAGATAAACAGCGAGAGAGAGATACAGAGACAGACAGAAAGAGAGACAGTGACAGAGAGAAAGAGAGAGAGAGAGAGAGAGAAATAGAGAGACAGATAAACAGCGAGAGAGAGATACAGAGACAGACAGAAAGAGAGACAGTGACAGAGATACAGAGAGAAAGAGAGAGAGAGAGAAAAGCCAGAGACAGAGAGACAGATAGACAGAGAGACAGAAAGAGAGAGACAGAGAGATAGAGACACACAGATATACAGAGAGAGAGAGACACACAAACACAAACACAGAGGGAGAGAGAGAGACAGACAGAGAAATAGAGAGACAGATAAACAACGAGAGAGAGATACAGAGACAGACAGAAAGAGAGACAGTGACAGAGATACAGAGAGAAAGAGAGAGAGAGAGAGAGAGAAATAGAGAGACAGATAAACAGCGAGAGAGAGATACAGAGACAGACAGAAAGAGAGACAGTGACAGAGATACAGAGAGAAAGAGAGAGAGAGAGAAAAGCCAGAGACAGAGAGACAGATAGACAGAGAGACAGAAAGAGAGAGACAGAGAGATAGAGACACACAGATATACAGAGAGAGAGAGACACACAAACACAAACACAGAGGGAGAGAGAGAGACAGACAGAGAAATAGAGAGACAGATAAACAACGAGAGAGAGATACAGAGACAGACAGAAAGAGAGACAGTGACAGAGATACAGAGAGAAAGAGAGAGAGAGAGAGAGAGAAATAGAGAGACAGATAAACAGCGAGAGAGAGATACAGAGACAGACAGAAAGAGAGACAGTGACAGAGATACAGAGAGAAAGAGAGAGAGAGAGAAAAGCCAGAGACAGAGAGACAGATAGACAGAGAGACAGAAAGAGAGAGACAGAGAGATAGAGACACACAGATATACAGAGAGAGAGAGACACACAAACACAAACACAGAGGGAGAGAGAGAGACAGACAGAGAAATAGAGAGACAGATAAACAACGAGAGAGAGATACAGAGACAGACAGAAAGAGAGACAGTGACAGAGATACAGAGAGAAAGAGAGAGAGAGAGAGAGAGAGAGAGAAAAGCCAGAGACAGAGAGAGACAGAGCGACAAAGAGAGAGAGAGACTTCTTTCCTCCCACAGTTTTGGACTAAACGCTCACAGATGGCTTCTGTTGTGGACAGAATACTCCGTGTGCATCTCAGCAGGAAATGAGGCCGATATAATAACTTTATAATTCAAAGTTCCTGTCTCACACGGAAGCGACAGAACCGTTTCTCCGCACACACACACACACACATGGACAAGACCAGAATCCACTCAACACACATGACCGCACAGATCCACCGCACAACTTGGTGATTTCTCTCATTTTCTCCTGAATGTGTGTGTTGAGTTCAGTTTGATGGATTTGCTCGGTGTGTAATCCAATCCCGTAGATTACAGGAAACAATTGAGCAGATTAAAGGCTGGAGGAGACGGATAATGATCTTGTGTAGAAGAAGTAAAGTGCTTTTACCTTTGATGGGAGCTGGAGCCGCTGCAGCCGACTTGGACTGCGGAGGAAGAGCCGTGTTGTTTCAGAAGTGTGTTGGGTTTGAAGGTCGAAACAAAGGAAAAGGAGAATGTATTTATGAAGCAGGATTCATGAAGAAGTAACTCAGGGAACAGGGGCGGAGCCAAAACTAGACATATTTTAATCAAATATATACATACATGGATAAATATACATAGACACATACATATACATAGATACACATGCATACATACATACATATACATACACACACATGCATATACATACACACATGCATACACATATACATAAATATACATACACACATGCATACACATATACATAAATATACATACATGTACATGCATACACACATATACATGCATACACATACATACACATATACATACATATACAGTACATATATACACATACGTACATATACATATACACATATGCATATACTGTACATACACAAAAATACATACATACACGTGCATAAATATACATACAGACAGACATACATACATATACATACATACATGTACATATATATACATTCATGCATACATACACATACACACAGACATACATATGCATACATACATGTACATATATATACATACATGCATACATACACATACATACACACATGCATACACATATACATACATATACAGTACATATATACACATACATGTACATATATATACACACACATACACACACACACACACACACACACATACACACACACACACACACACATACACATCTGTACTAATAAAACATTTAAAAGCCAAGATTCCAACGAACACACCTTGTCTCCTGCATCTGTTTTGCGTGTTCTCTTCATGATCTCCTCCAGACGCTGCAAATGTGACAAAAACAAAAAACGTTTTAAAATATTCACATTAAAATTGATCCTAATTTGGTGGAATGTGTCTTTTTAAATTTGGTTCGGTCCAAAAAAAAAAAAAAAAGGACTGGAATAGACTTTAAAGCAGCTCTAACACCACAGTACATCCGAGACATGTTAGTGTGATAAAAAAACAACTCTGAGGAGCACAGGGACCGGCCAGATTCAGATTCATGCAGCTAAAATCTGAAACCGTCTTCCTGAAAATGTGAGACAGGCTTCTGTATCTTCATTCTTTTTAATTCACTGAGAATATGTATTATCTTAATGCCTTTTTCTTGTTTGGTTCATCACTTTGAGTTGCCTTGAGTATAGACTGCACTATACAAATAAACTTGCCCTGCCTTGCTTTGCCAATAGTTTTATGATGAATTCCATTTTAAACTAAGAATAACAAATCAGGCAAAACACATCTTTTACTCAAGCACACAAAGCCACAAGAGCAGCTGCCAATCACTCATAAAAAAACGACATTCAGCCTCACGTCAGACTGATAGCTTTGGCATCAGGCTGCTGTATAAAAGCCGAGCTGCAGGGTGGACTCGCTCGGCCCTATCTAACCAGAGACTATGCCCAAGTAAGTCCACGGTCTTTGGGCAGAGGACATGCTGTTCCTGCTGCTAATTCCAACGCAGCCAGAGGTTTGGCTTTGGCCGAGCGAGGCCTGGCACTGCTGCAGTCAGTCAGAGATTTACACATGGACAGAAGATGATAGCAGAGGGAGAATAGTCCGGCTGTTAGGGCTGAAGCTTTAAAGGAGCAGTGTGGTCAAAAGTGGTACTGCAGCCTCTCCCACTCTCCCTGACTCAGGTTGCCAGCAGTGGGGGCGGGTCCCAGCTCAAAAGTGGCCAAAATGACGTGCGCTGACATGCTGCAATACCACCCCGGGCCTGTGGGGGTGGACCCAGAAGAAGAATTAGCCGATGCTAACATATAGCGTTGGCAGACCTCTCGGAAACGTCTTTACAGGATGGACCAAACGTTGGCTCTTGGCCCAAAGCTCCGTTCCACATGTGTGTCACTGCTGAGGGGGTGTTTTGGTCCACTCTAGTTTACTTGCTGTGAATTTTTGAAGTCTCTCGTTCAAATGAATGGAGCTGCTCCGGCTGACGCATGCGCAGATGTGTTTTTTCACAATTTTCTTGTTCCAAAATAATGTGCGTAGTAGGGCACAATTTTTGGCTGACTCTGTCCGTTAATATATACAGTCTATGGTTGCCAGATATGCAGACGGATCGAGCTGGGACCATAACAGCTGAATAGACAAGAGTTTTGTCAACAACAAATCTATAACCAACACCTTTTTCACAAAGATAGAAATCCTGGTTTTATTCCTTGTTTTGTCGTTAATGATTTGAGAATCATAACGAGACCTTTTATATACATATATGTATGTAGTAATGTGTGTATGTATGTATGTAGTAATGTGTATATGTATGTATGTAGTAATGTGTGTATGTATGTATGTAGTAATGTGTGTATGTATGTATGTAGTAATGTGTGTATGTATGTATGTAGTAATGTATGTATGTATGTAGTAATGTGTGTATGTATATAGTAATGTGTGTATGTATGTATGTAGTAATGTGTGTATGTATGTAGTAATGTGTGTATGTATGTATGTAGTAATGTATGTATGTATATAGTAATGTGTGTATGTATGTATGTAGTAATGTATGTATGTATGTAGTAATGTATGTATGTATGTATGTAGTAATGTGTGTATGTATGTATGTAGTAATGTGTGTATGTATGTATGTAGTAATGTGTGTATGTATGTATGTAGTAATGTGTGTATGTATGTATGTAGTAATGTGTGTATGTATGTATGTAGTAATGTATGTATGTATGTAGTAATGTGTGTATGTATATAGTAATGTGTGTATGTATGTATGTAGTAATGTGTGTATGTATGTATGTAGTAATGTGTGTATGTATGTATGTAGTAATGTATGTATGTATGTATGTAGTAATGTGTGTGTGTATGTATGTATGTAGTAATGTATGTATGTATGTAGTAGTAAGTGTGTGTATGTATGTATGTAGTAATGTGTGTATGTATGTATGTAGTAATGTGTGTATGTATGTATGTAGTAATGTGTGTATGTATGTAGTATGTATGTATGTATGTATGTAGTAATGTGTGTATGTAGTATATAGTAATGTGTGTATGTATGTATGTAGTAATGTGTGTATGTATGTATGTAGTAATGTGTGTATGTATGTATGTAGTAATGTATGTATGTATGTAGTAATGTGTGTATGTATATAGTAATGTGTGTATGTATGTATGTAGTAATGTGTGTATGTATGTATGTAGTAATGTGTGTATGTATGTATGTAGTAATGTATGTATGTATGTAGTAATGTGTGTATGTATATAGTAATGTGTGTATGTATGTATGTAGTAATGTGTGTATGTATGTATGTAGTAATGTGTGTATGTATGTATGTAGTAATGTATGTATGTATGTAGTAATGTGTGTATGTATATAGTAATGTGTGTATGTATGTATGTAGTAATGTGTGTATGTATGTAGTAATGTGTGTATGTATGTATGTAGTAATGTGTGTATGTATGTATGTAGTAATGTATGTATGTATATAGTAATGTGTGTATGTATGTATGTAGTAATGTATGTATGTATGTAGTAATGTATGTATGTATGTATGTAGTAATGTGTGTATGTATGTATGTAGTAATGTGTGTATGTATGTATGTAGTAATGTGTGTATGTATGTATGTAGTAATGTGTGTATGTATGTATGTAGTAATGTATGTATGTATGTAGTAATGTGTGTATGTATATAGTAATGTGTGTATGTATGTATGTAGTAATGTGTGTATGTATGTAGTAATGTGTGTATGTATGTATGTAGTAATGTATGTATGTATATAGTAATGTGTGTATGTATATAGTAATGTGTGTATGTATGTAGTAATGTATGTATGTAGTAATGTGTGTATGTATGTATGTAGTAATGTGTGTATGTATGTATGTAGTAATGTATGTATGTATGTAGTAATGTGTGTATGTATGTATGTAGTAATGTATGTATGTATATAGTAATGTGTGTATGTATATAGTAATGTGTGTATGTATGTATGTAGTAATGTTGTAATGTGTGTATGTATGTAGTAGTGTGTGGGTGTTGGGTCTGTGAAGGACACATGCAGAGCCCTCGGAGAGACTTGATGATTATATATAGGTCTAATGCCCTGGTAAATTATGGCATGCAGACAGCTCATCCTGGAGAATCTAAATACATCGTTCATCTTGGTTTCAGGGACTCGCGGCTGTCATCTCAAGCCACGGAAAGAGTCCCACCAGAACCTAATCCCTCCACTCCGACGCTTGTAAACGGCAGCATTCATTTTGAGAATCACATTTTCAGACCAGACTGGGAAAAACAAATGCGAAGGCTTTCCATGATCCAGAGAACCTAAACTTTAGGAATCTCATATTGAAATACTTGAAATATTGTCTGCATATGGGAAAAAGTGCATGATTTCCTTTCAGCTGAATCAAATCCACACAAATTGATGTCAGCACTGTCGTCTACTCTAACAGCTAGAATAAAACAAGACAAAAAAACGAAAGACAATAAGGGCCAGAGGTTTAAAAAGATAAATATAAAAACACACAGGTCAGTTCTACCTACAGTATAACAGTGTGGAATCTTACCTGCAGGTTTTGGACTTATGAATCAGAATTTATTGCTCTTAAATATACATATGTCAAGACCTGAACCTCATTGCAACTAGTATCAATATCTTAAAGGTCCCATTTTTTTTTGGAAAGAACCGCCCTCTCCACTGTTTGAACAAATCTCTCTGGTCTTATTGGACAAGCACGTATCACCAGAATGATTGACAAGTGGGAGGACCAATAGCCTTGACCCGGAAGTAGAAAATACCTTTAAGCATCGGCTTCATTCCCATTGCTACACATCACATAAAAAACCTTCTCTTCTTCTGTCTTCTTTTGTTCTATCTGGAAGAACTTGTTTGGCAGATTATTTATTCATTTGAATGCATGCCTTATTCTATTTTCTTCACTGTTTTTAATGTACTGTGATTAGTTATGATTTGAATGCTTCGTGTGACTGTCTCATGTTTTGTTCAGCACTTTTGAGTTGCCTTGTGTATGAATTGTGCTATACAAAATAAACTTGCCTTGCCTGTTTTTTACTTTTATAACTTATTTGCACCGAGTGTGGAAGCTCCTTTTACTCCCAATGGCAATAAAAAGATTCAAAAGTCCAAAAGATGCAGGTCAACTTCCACAATAGATTGAAAACAGAGTGCTACATGAGGGGAGGGGAGCCAGAAATAGCTGTGGATTAAGCAAAAAAACAAACTCTAAGTATGTCCTTGATGAGAAAACAGTGGTAACACAGATGAAATACACTCATCTGGGTCTTTAAAACTCCCTGGTTCCTTCTCTGGACTCACTACTGAATCCAAAACCAGCTTATGTCTGTGCCCAAGTCCTGATCTGCCATCGTTGCCGTACCTTTTTCCTCTCCAGCCTCTCCTGCTCCTCCTTCTGGAAGTGCTTGTCCCTCTCCAGGCGCTGCTTCTCCGCCTCCTCACGGGCTCGAGCCTCGGCCTCCTCTTTCTGAAAACACACAAAAACCCCAACCACAGCTTTATAATTCCGGCACGCTGGGGCAGGAACACACTCAGCCGAAATAGCTCGGGTGTGGCCGGAGACCTTCTGTGGCTCGGCTTTTGTTAAAGACCTGGCCCTGAGTGTTTGTGTTGAGATGTGATATCAAAAGGTCATGCTAACCTTAAAGAAATATGGCATTGTTTATGGATCACACATGCCAGGTTTTGTAAATGACCACCAGGGGGCAGTAGAGGGCAAATGCTGAAAACACTAGATTACAAAACTGAGGCGATATTTCTGGTCAAAAACACACAAACAGAACATTCTTAGTTTAGGATCAATTAAAATTCCAAGTCTGTCCATAAACAATGTGTTACTTTTTCTATGTTAGGGACTCTGAGGAGCACAGGGACAGGCTTCCTGCTGGTCACTCTGAGGAGCACAGGGACAGGCTTCCTGCTGGGACTCTGAGGAGCACAGGGACAGGCTTCCTGCTGGGACTCTGAGGAGCACAGGGACAGGCTTCCTGCTGGGACTCTGAGGAGCACAGGGACAGGCTTCCTGCTGGGACTCTGAGGAGCACAGGGACAGGCTTCCTGCTGGGACTCTGAGGAGCACAGGGACAGGCTTCCTGCTGGGACTCTGAGGAGCACAGGGACAGGCTTCCTGCTGGTCACTCTGAGGAGCACAGGGACAGGCTTCCTGCTGGGACTCTGAGGAGCACAGGGACAGGCTTCCTGCTAGGACTCTGAGGAGCACAGGGACAGGCTTCCTGCTGGGACTCTGAGGAGCACAGGGACTGGCCTCCTGCTGGTCCCAGTGTCAGGACTAAACATGGGGAGCCAGCATTTCAGATTCATGCAGCTAAAATAAAAAACAGTCTTCCTGAAAATGAGAGACAGGCTTCTACTCTGACAATGTTCAAATATTTTTATGACAAGTTTATTTTCTTGTTTTAATAAGTTGTTTGAGTTGAGTTACATTTTTTATTTGTAGAGACATTTAAAACAGTCTTGGCTTAACTAAGTGCTGCACAGACAATAAAAAACAGCACAATAAAAACACATAAAAACTAAAAAACTGTCTCTTTCCACCTGGTATTAAAGTCCAGAGAGAAAAGCTGCGTCTGAGCGCCTTGTGGTTGAACTGTGCCATAAAAATAAACTTCCTTTGCCTTAAAATAGCGGCTGCATCTAATGTGGGAACAGAAGTGTTTTGACCTGTGGGTTTTCCTTGCCCTTTATCAGAAAAGTGCTGTATCTGAAACAGTCGTTATCACTTCTGCTGCAGTTCAGTGTTCATGGTTTTACACTGGTCCAGACCAGAGCAGAGAGGATTCATGGTTTTACACTGGTCCAGACCAGAGCAGAGAGGATTCATGGTTTTACACTGGTCCAGACCAGAGCAGAGAGGATTCATGGTTTTACACTGGTCCAGACCAGAGCAGAGAGGATTCATGGTTTTACACTGGTCCAGACCAGAGCAGAGAGGATTCATGGTCCAAACCAAGTGGTTCAGGTGAAAATCCACTGGAACGCTAACTTTTTTAAAAATTCAAACAAAGCGTTTAGAATTTTACATTGGACCAGAGCAGAAAAAATGGTCCAATCCAAGCGGCTCCACTTCTGCTGCTGTGACCTAATGGACTTTTGCATCTTAGTATTATTAGCTATTTTTAGAATTATGTATTTAATTAATCATAAATGATCTAACATTTCTGTTGTACTGGACACCTGAATTTCTCCAACAGGATCAATAAAGTATCTATCCATCTATCCAATAAGTACACTCACATTAGTGCTTTTAGTTCTTAGCACAGAGACCAAAAAAAACTGGACGCTCTGTGGAAAGACTTGTATTCTCTGGCTTTTAGAAGCGTTTGAGAACATTTATCAGTCTCACTTGTTTCTGGAGCCGTAGATTCTCCTCGTGCTCGGTTTTGGCCTTCTCCTGCGCCTCCTTCTCCTCCTGCAGACGCACTTCTTCGTCTCTTTTGCGCTGCTCCTCGGCCATGGCTCGGGCCTCCTCCTCCCGCCGCTGCTGCTCCTCTGCCTCTCGCACTAACCGCTCCTCTCTCTCAGCCCTACACATCACACACACAGTTATAACCACACATAATGAAGCCGTTTTAAAGACCTTATGACGGGTTTAAAAAAAAAAAATAGTGGATATCAAAATTGCATGACAATGTCAATTTGAAAGAGATTCCGGCAAAAAAAATCCTATATTTTATAAAAAGAACGTGTTTTTCATGAATTTAAGTTGTCTATGCTCTAACCTGTGTGTGACGTCATAGCGGGTTACGCCCATGCATTGAAAACCATGGATCTATGCCACAGGACTGCCTTTTCTCTCTTCTCTCCACTGATGCCCAACACAATACTGCCCTCTACAGGTGACAATTGCTCACTACACATAAATTGCCGTTTTGAGAGTGAAAAAGTGTCCGGGGTGGGATTTGAACCCCAGTATCTGGATTGACAGTCCATCGACACAACCACTGGACTATCTCAGTGACAACAAAGAGTTACATTCTAGTATTTATGTCAGACTCGCTGTACACGGCCTTGTCATCTTGAATATCCGCGAAAAAAGAACGAATACCAAATTGTAAACAACTTACAGCGTTGAAACGTACCCACTCTGACGTCACCAAGGGCTGTGAAGTTTTTTCGTTTCTAAGGGCGTTGCTATGGGGTTATTTCGATTTGGGGGGATCAGACAAAAAAAACAACTGATTTTGAAACCTTTAGTAGTTCTCTTCTAATATAAAATGGTATTAAAACTGTATTTCTAAATAAATCAAACCCGTCATAAGGTCTTTAAACATGGAGATACAGGGCAGCGCTGATTTTGGAGTCATAATTCTTAGAGACATTATTTTGATTCTTTCAGGAGAGTTCCATCACAACAAGCTTCAAAGGAAATCATCAGAACAATTCCTCAGTAACTTTCAGTGCCTCATCTTCTGGTTTTAAATCTGAAAATCCATATTCAGTATGACGACGATCGATCCCGTCTCTTTCCTCCTTTCTGACCTACGATTGAAACATGTTTTTTGTTCCCATATTATAACCGTTTTTTTCTTCTAAACTGCCTCCTCAAACTTGAATGCATGAACGCCATCCCCTTTCTTCCCCTTAATCCATTTCTGTGTCAGGGGGAGGTGGCAGTCAGAGATGCCACCCAAGTCACTAATGCCCCTAGTCCCTCACTGATCCTCTGCAGGTGCTGAGTCCACAGGAGGCAGCTCTGTCTGTGAGAAGTGTCTTGCCCAAGGACTAGGGGTGGGAACCTAAGGGTACCTGACGATACGATACGATACACGATACAAAGCTCACGATAACGATATTACGATAACGATTTTATCACGATATGACAATTATTGATATATTGGTTAGAAATATACAATATGCCAATTTATGGCATGAATAAAAGAAAAAATACTCTTTATTTCATGATAAATAGAATGGAGATGCGTAATGTAGCCATGTATTAAGTATTGATACCAATTTTTTTTTTTTTTTTTTTTTCAAAATCGATATTGATACTTGGTAAATGCATATCGATAATCGAATCGCGGGAGAAAGTATCGCGATATATCGTCACACCCCTACCAAGGACACAACGACAGCCGACATCAGTGGGAGTCAGTGGAGAAGGTCTCATGGTGGGCTCGGACCATAGACTGTATATATATATATATATATATATATATATATATATATATATATATATATATATATTTTTTTTTTTTTTTCAAAAAGTTTTTTATTGAGCATCTTTTACATCACAAATATTAAACATAATAATTGAGGCTCAAACTTTTTTATATAAAATAAAACATACAAAACAAAAACAAAAACAAACTAGAGCCCAACAATACAAGGTTTGCATAAATTGTGTATATTCAAACTTATTTATGTTCATGTAGATTGCAGAAATTCTATGAATGGTTGCCAGATGTTCTGAAATGATGAAATATTATCTTTTAATAAATATCTAATCCTTTCAAGGTGTAATGTATTTGACAAGTCCCGCAGCCACACCTTAGCATTTGGCACGGTCGGTCCCTTCCAAGACATGAGTAGTATCTTTTTTGCGGTTATGAGAGAGTAGGAAATAAACCGACGTTGTGCTAGAGTGAGCTGTCGAAACCGCTGCGAAGTTACAAAGATGATTAGCAGAGGGTCTGGGAGCAATGTAAACTTAAGAGTTTTTGACAAAGTATTAAATATTTCAGACCAATAAGTAGTAAGTTTAGGGCAGTTGAAGAAGGCATGGAACAGTGTTGCATCAGAGGACAGACACTTATCACATGTTGATGATGTGTTTGGGAAAATATTATGGATTTTAACTTTGGAGTAATGGAGTCTATGCATGATTTTGAATTGTATTAGACAGTGTCTGGCATTGTTGGAGCAACTGTGTATACATTCAAGAGCTTCTTCCCAGATATCATCAGGAATCTTAAGGCACATGTCTTTCTCCCAACTTTCCTTATATTTATTCGAAGAGGGGGAGTTAATCATCAGTAACTTATTATAGATGATGGAAATGAATTTATCTTTGCTTGCAGGTGTGTTCAAGCAGTCATCAATGATGGTCTGTGTTTCATTTTCAAAACTTATTGTATATTTACGTACATAGTCCCTGACCTGTAGATACCTAAAGAAATTGTTGCCATGCAATTCAAATTTTGCCTGTAATTGTGCGAATGTAGCAAAGTTACCATCAATGTATAGGTCACGGATGCAGTCTATCCCCAGTCTACTCCATTCGTTAAAGGTCAAATCTAAAATAGAAGGGGCAAAGGACGGATTTTTTGCGATTGGTAGTGTATGGGGGATTGTTTTGTGGTTGAAATGGGATTTGATTTGTTTCCAAATACGAATTAGGTTGTGTATAATCGGATTTTGATTGTATTTTGATTTGTCAATTGGGGTTGGTGAGAGTACTATAGCAACAGGTGCATATGGATTACAATCTTCAAGTTCTAAATTTAACCAGGTGGGAGGGTTGTTTGAAGTAGTCATGAAAGAGTTTATATTTTTGAAGGCACATGCCCAGTAGTACATTATAAAATTCGGAAGGGACAGACCCCCATTTACCTTAGGTTTGGTTAAGTGTTTTTTCATAATCCTTGGCGGCACGGTGGCTGAGTGGATAGCACTCTCGCCTCTCAGCAAGAAGGTCCTGGGTTCGAATCCCGGTCGGACCAGGGCCTTTCTGAGTGGAGTTTGCATGTTCTCCCCGTGTCTGCGTAGGTTTCCTCCGGGTACTCCGGTTTCCCCTACCACTAAAAATATGTCCAATAGTTCTGGCATGCGCCTTGTGTACTGGCCCCGCTCCCATCTCTGTGTGGAGTGGGAGACAAATGCCCAAAAAATAACAATTGTAAACCGCTTTGAGACTCAGATCTGCAGTGAAAGGGCGGTATATAAATAAAGATTACTTACTACTTACTACTTACTTGGGGTTCTGTAATTCCATAGGAATGGTTGAACAATCGAGTCAATTTTCTTGAAGAAAGATTTTGTGAGAAACATGGGGATATTCTGAAACAAATACAGGATTTGTGGTAGGAAGACCATCTTAATAGCATTTATCCTTCCTAGTAAGGATATTGGCAATGTTCTCCAAAACTGAATCTTAATTTTAAGTTGATCCAATAATGGTATAAAATTCGACTTTATGAGTGAGGTAAATTGTTTTGTAACCACTATGCCTAAATAAGTAAATTTATCAATGGATACCTTGAACGGGAATTTTGATAGCGTTGTTTGAGGAATCGGGTGGATCGGCATTAATATACTTTTTGTCCAGTTTATACGATAACCTGAAAATTTCCCAAACATTTCAATTTTTCCTAGAATGGACGGAATTGAGAGGTGGGGTTTAGTCACATACAGCAGAATATCATCAGCGTATAACGAGATCTTATTATTTGTAGCCTTAGTCTGGTAGCCGAATATTTGAGGGTCTAAACGTATACTTTGTGCTAATGGTTCGATTGCGAGAGCAAAGATTAGTGCTGAAAGGGGACAGCCTTGGCGGGTCCCTCTGTGCAGATTAAAGTATGTAGACAGGTTTTGATTTGTGCGAATTTGGGCTTTAGGGTTAGTGTATAGAAGTCTAATCCCATTTATAAACTTCTCACCTAAATTAAAGCGTTTAAGCACTTCAAACAAATATTCCCACTCTATCTGATCAAACGCTTTTTCTGCATCAAGAGTCAGAATAGCGAGATCATTATGTATTCTCCTATCAGTATATAAAATATCAAACAGTCTGCGCAGGTTGGATGTCGAGTTTCTGTTTGTTATAAAACCAGTTTGGTCGTTATGAATTAGCGATTCCATTAGAGGGCTTAATCTATTGGAGAGAATTTTTGCATATATCTTATAGTCTATATTTAATAATGAAATTGGCCGATATGATCCAACATTTAATTCGTCTTTATCCTTCTTATGGATAACTGTAATTGTTGCTTGAGTAAGAGTAGGTGGTAGTGTGCCATCTTGTAAGGCTTGTTTATACATTCTATGGAGATATGGTATGAGGATATTACTAAACTTTTTGTAAAGTTCGACCGGTATGCCATCTGGACCAGGTGCTTTACCACTTTTAATGGTGGTAATTGACTTTTGAATTTCTGTCGGGTGGATATCAGTATTTAGTTTATCTAAGTCTACAGAAGAGAGACATGGTAGGTTACATTTATCTAGAAACTTGGACATGACATCAGGATCAATATTGCATTTGGAAGTGTATAAATCAGAGTAAAATTGTAAAAACGTTGTGTTTATATCTTTAGGTTTAGTGAGCAGATGGCCCTTATCATTTTTGATTTTGTGAATAGTTCTATCTGCTTCCATTTTCCTGAGTTGTTGAGCTAATAATTTATTTGGTTTTTCACCAAATTCAAAGTATTTTTGTTTGGTAAATAAAAAGGCTGATGTGATTTTCTTTGAGAGAAGTTGGTTGAGTTGGTATTTTAAGTGTGTTATTTCTCTGTGTAAATCAGGGGTGGGGGTTAATGCATTTTTGTGATCTAGTTGCTGTATCTGTTCCTCCAGTTGTTTGTATTGAGTAGTCTCGTTTTTCCTTTTAGCAGCTTCATATGAGATGACACATCCTCTCAGATAGGCTTTAAAGGCCTCCCATAGGGTAAATGAAGTGATATCTGGTGTATCATTTATCTCAAAGTATAAACGTATTTGAGTCTCTATGAATTCACAAAACTCCTTTTCTGTAAGTAACTGAGGGTTCATTCTCCAAGATCTGCTGGGTGGGTCCATGCCTTCCAAATGTAAACTAAATGTCAATGGGCTATGGTCAGATATTGTGATGGGATGATATTTAGAATCCACTGTGAATGGGGCCAATTGTGCATAGACTGTATATATTAACGGACAGAGTCACGCCTATCTCCGCCGTTCTAACTATCCATCCATCCATCCATTTTCTTCCCCTTAATCCATTTCCGGGTCGGGGGGGTGGCAGTGAGAGCTGCACCCAGTACACTTAGCACCAGCCCCTCACTGATCCTCCTGCAGCTGGTGAGTCCACAGGAGCTGAGATCTTTCAGTTGGGGCTTTGGGCAAAGTAGGGTTAAGTGTCTTGCCCAAGGACACAACGACAGCAGACATCAGTGGGAGTCGTGAAGTAGGTCTTATGGTGGGCTCGAACCCACGACCTTCAGGCCCAAAGGCCAATGCTCTACCAACTGAGCTACTGGCGCCCTAACTAATGGGCCAAAAATAGTGCTCTACAGGAGTGATCCAAAATGGCCGCGAGTGGTCCCGCCCACAAGAAAATTGTGAAAAAACGCCTCTGCGCATGTATCAGCCGGCGAGAGATCCATTCATTTGAACGAGAGACTTCAAAAATTCACAGCAAGTAAACTAGAGTGGACCAAAACACCCCCTCAGCAGTGACACACATGTGGAACGGAGCTTTGGGCCAAGAGCCAACTTTTGGTCCATCCTGTAAAGACGTTTTCGAGAGGTCTGCTAATGCTATATGTTAGCATTGGCTATTTCTACTTCCGGGTCCACCCCCACAGGCCCGGGGTGGTATTGCACCATGTCAGCGCACGTCATTTTGGCCAGTTTTGAGCTGGGACCCGCCCCCACTGGCTCGAACCCACAACCTTCAAGCTAAAAGGCCAACAACGCTCTACCAACTGAGCCACTGGTTTTAGGAGATTTAAAGGTCTCCTCCTAATCTGTCCGATAAGGATTATTATAAGAATGATTTAAAAAAACATATGTAATCCCTTCCCTATAGCATCAAACCATTACCATAATTATCTAACTTCCAGAAGTAAACATTTATACATAATCTCTAAATCTAAACCCATGAATACAGAGTGAAAGTGTTCTGTGTGGTAGATTCCAGACACATCCGCACCGTTCTTTCTCCTCTTGTAGCCGTCGCTCCTGCTCCTCGCGCTCCCTCTGCTCTCGGGCCTGACGCCGTTTCTCGGCCAGGATCCGACCCGCTTCCTCCGCGTCGTTGGTTCCAGCCATGGGTTTGGCAGAAGGGGTGGGGGAGGAGGCGGGGGCGGGGGAGGCGGGGGAGGTGCGGGCCGGCGGCTGCTCGGGGGAGGAGGAGGAGGCAGCTGCGGCAGGAGCGACCGGAGAGCCTGCAACACCAACATGTGTGTGAGATTATTTATTGTTTTATTTGTACTAAAGACAACAACACAGACAACAACACAAAAGTGAAAATCCCAAACAAATCAAACATGACAATAACAAAACACACAAAAAATTAAATAATTATAAACAAATTAACTAAACATGTTTAGTGCACAAACATATTTGGTCTCTCTCTGGTCTCTCTCGCTGGTCTCTCTCTAGTCTCTCTCTCTGTTGTCTCTCACTCTGGTCTCTCTCTGGTCTCTCTCTGGTCTCTCTCTGGTCTCTCTCTCTGGTCTCTCTCTGGTCTCTCTCTGGTCTCTCTCTGGTCTCTCTCTCTGGTCTCCCTCTGGTCTCTCTCTGGTCTCTCTCTGGTCTCTCTCTGGTCTCTCTCTGGTCTCTCTCTCTGGTCTCTCTCTCTGGTCTCTCTCTGGTCTCTCTCTGGTCTCTCTCTCTGGTCTCTCTCGGGTCTCTCTCTCTCGGGTCTCTCTCTCTGGTCTCTCTCTGGTCTCTCTCTCTCGGGTCTCTCTCTCTGGTCTCTCTCGGGTCTCTCTCTGGTCTCTCTCTGGTCTCTCTCTGGTCTCTCTCTGGTCTCTCTCTGGTCTCTCTCTGGTCTCTCTCTGTGTCTCTCTCTGGTCTCTCTCTGGTCTCTCTCTGGTCTCTCTCTGGTCTCTCTCTGGTCTCTCTCTGGTCTCTCTCTGGTCTCTCTCTCTGTTGTCTCTCACTCTGGTCTCTCTCTGGTCTCTCTCTGGTCTCTCTCTCTCTCGGGTCTCTCTCTCTGGTCTCTCTCTCTGGTCTCTCTCTCGGGTCTCTCTCTGGTCTCTCTCTGGTCTCTCTCTGGTCTCTCTCTGGTCTCTCTCTCTGGTCTCTCTCTCTGGTCTCTCTCTGGTCTCTCTCTCTGGTCTCTCTCTGGTCTCTCTCTGGTCTCTCTCTGGTCTCTCTCTGGTCTCTCTCTCTGGTCTCTCTCTCTGGTCTCTCTCTCTGGTCTCTCTCTCTGGTCTCTCCCTGGTCTCTCCCTGGTCTCTCTCTGGTCTCTCTCTGGTCTCTCTCTCTGGTCTCTCTCTGGTCTCTCTTTGGTCTCTCTCTGGTCTCTCTCTGGTCTCTCTCTGGTCTCTCTCTGGTCTCTCTCTGGTCTCTCTCTCTGGTCTCTCTCTGGTCTCTCTCTGGTCTCTCTCTGGTCTCTCTCTGGTCTCTCTCTGGTCTCTCTCTGGTCTCTCTCTGGTCTCTCTCTGGTCTCTCTCTCTGGTCTCTCTCTGGTCTCTCTCTGGTCTCTCTCTGGTCTCTCTCTGGTCTCTCTCTCTGGTCTATCTCTGGTCTCTCTCTGGTCTCTCTCTGTCCCTCTCTGGTCTCTCTCTGGTCTCTCTCTGGTCTCTCTCTGGTCTCTCTCTGGTCTCTCTCTCTGGTCTCTCTCTCTGGTCTCTCTCTGGTCTCTCTCTGGTCTCTCTCTGGTCTCTCTCTGTCCCTCTCTGGTCTCTCTCTGGTCTCTCTCTGGTCTCTCTCTCTGGTCTCTCTCTCTCTCTCTGGTCTCTCTCTGGTCTCTCTCTGGTCTCTCTCTGGTCTCTCTCTCTGGTCTCTCTCTGGTCTCTCTCTGGTCTCTCTCTCTGGTCTATCTCTCTGGTCTATCTCTGGTCTCTCTCTGGTCTCTCTCTGGTCTCTCTCTGGTCTCTCTCTCTGGTCTCTCTCTCTGGTCTCTCTCTGGTCTCTCTCTGGTCTCTCTCTCTGGTCTATCTCTCTGGTCTCTCTCTGGTCTCTCTCTGGTCTCTCTCTGGTCTCTCTCTGGTCTCTCTCTGGTCTCTCTCTCTGGTCTATCTCTCTGGTCTATCTCTGGTCTCTCTCTGGTCTCTCTCTGGTCTCTCTCTCTGGTCTATCTCTCTGGTCTATCTCTGGTCTCTCTCTGGTCTCTCTCTGGTCTCTCTCTGGTCTGGCAGTAAATACTAGTGTTTGTGCCGACCTCGTCTCTCTGGAGTCCCAGACCTCCGCGGCTCTCGGACTCTTTGGAGGGGAGCAGGGGAGGAGGTGCGGGCGTCGATTCTGGCCGGCGTCCTGGCTCTCTTGGGCCGGGTCTTGGGGGTGGAGGGACTTCCCTTTGGTGAAGCGTTGGAGCCGGGAGAGGCCGCTCTGCCTTTGGCTGTGGCTGGAGACGAAGGCCTCTGTCTGGATAAAGGACTGGGACTGAAACACAGACACAGAACTCCACGTCAATAACAACACCTCTGTTCCACAAATCCAAAAATAATTACATTTAAAGATCTAATTACATTCAAAACCTTACAATGAATATACAGTAATGAATATCTTGCTTCCAAACAGAAACCGGTTCTCGTCCGAAAGGGCAAGCAAAAAGTCAAAATGCAAAAGAGTCAGAGCCACTCGGATAGATGCAAAAAGTTCTAGGTGCACTTTATTAATCCATTCCATTCCAAGACCCTTCGACCGGGATTCAAACCCAGGACCTTCTTGCTGAGAAGTGAGAGTGCTAACCACTCAGCCACTGAGTCGGTCTTCTATACGGCAACGCGCTTCAACACACGGCTTTCATCGCGGCTTGTGAGAAATGCCCGTGTGCATGACCACGTTTAAAGAGGAACCCATGTATACATTTAATATATATTTATAAATACAAATAAAAAAATACCGATAAAATAAAAATAAAAGTGAAAAAAAAGATTCAGTTAAAAATATGAATAAGGACGGAGGCTTCCGGTGACGCCATGTTGATAGCAGCTTGAGGGACACGCTCTGTCCAAAATTTGATAATTTCCTAACACAACCAGCTTAAAACTCGGCATATTTTATTGAGTTCGACATGTCGTCAAGAGGCAAAGGTGTTAGCGGAGGTAGTGCTAAGGATGGAGAAGCTTAAAAACTACTGTGAAATGAAAGATCACAGCAAAAGTGGGTCGAACCAAAAAGCTCGGAGACCAAATAAATACAGGACGTGCAATTCGGTTCCTTAAATAAAATATATCATTCCAGATAGTGATGCAGATCTTTTAAAGCCAAAACAGTACCTTCCATATAGTATAAAACAGAAATTGCAGAACGGGTCAAATGCACAGGACCCTAGATATCTAAACCAAGACATTAGTAATCCAAACAAATATGAATGGAAGGAAGCAGCAAAATAAATGAAGAGATGGGATATTGGATTATAAGTGACCGCTGGAGTGGCATCAGAATCCAACTCCTCTGTGGACGGAGCTAATTGGACATTACGGGTTGGACGCGCTGATCCAGGATCTGTCATTGACTTTGGCTTTGGTTGATCCTCTGAATGATGTGACTGTGGCTGGTTTAATGCAGTGTCAGATCTCACTTTGGATCGATCCCGCGCTCAGCCCCTCGCGCACACGTTACAGTCCGGTGCTGACATTCATCACTGCGCCGTGACATTTACACGAGAAAAATAACACATAGATACTCGATACAGTTTGTTGATCTGTGTGTGACGAAAGTGTTCAGGGTAAGGGGGAAAATAACGGAGGTGCCTGAAGAAAGATAGAGTTAGGAATATGGACACGTTCAAGCTTAAAGGAGAAGTATGTGGCCAAAAGTGGTACTGCAGCCTCTCCCACTCTCCCTGACTCAGGTTGCCAGATATGCAGACGAATCCAGCTGGGACCATAACAGCTGAATAGACAAGAGTTTTGTCAACAACAAATCTATAACCAACACCTTTTTCACAAAGATAGAAATCCTGGTTTCATTCCTTGTTTTGTCGTTAATGATTTGAGAATCATAACGAGACCTTTTTTAGTTCTGCGCCACATGGTACTTTACCAGTGAGATTAGCTCCACATGGTACTTTACCAGTGAGATTAGCTCCACGCGGTGAGTTCTGGCGCCCGGATCACAGACTTTCTGATTGGTGAAACGGTGGAGGGCGGGACACAGATTTAGGGGCTGTAAAAGTAATTTTGACATTCTAATTTCTCCCTGAACTTCTTTAATTAGTTAAGGAAGTATTGGGAAAGAGCATGTTTTATTAAAGTTCTGTAACTTGCGTTGAAACATTAATATTTACAGACTTTATGAACATTCATGGACATTGGTCGTCTGCCTTTGATTCTCTGATCTGTGTTGGCGAAATGTCGGCTTTGTAAAGTCCTCCGAGATCAATACTGTTGTGATTTAGGGCTATACAAGAATACATTGAATAGAATTACCATTTTCAGACCGTGAGACGAATAAAGAATCTCTTAAACTTACAAAGAGAGAGAGAGCGAGAGAACTTCCAGTCGGAAAGTCCCGGCAGGAGTCAAACCTAAGCACATTTGACCATCCCTTCACCTCTCCCCTCTCCTTGTATGTTACAGAACACACTATGTATTTCTCTGTGAGTGTCCAAAGCCGCTTACCTCCTACTCATGAGTTCACGCCTCGCCGCCTCTTGACACAACACAAAAACACAAAATGTTCTGGGAATCACACTGTTTTAAAGTTGTAGACTGAGTTCAGAGCGGTGCAGACGGAGCACAGTCAGCGGCGGTAAATAAATGTTCTTCATATTCACAGCGGCAAAAGCTACGACCCGATTCTGACACTCGGGAACAGGGGATTCTGGGCTTTTATAGACGCAGAAAAAAGATAAGAAAAGTGTGTACAGCTCTGACAACAACCCAAGGCTCAGGCAGGAGTTACAGACACTTGTTTGGGAATATATTTCTGTTTAGTTTGAATGTTGGAAGTTTTATTCAAGGTATTGTTTGAATAAATAAGTGACTGTTATGACCTGGATCTTAGGCGTAGGAGGAGACGAGACAATGGTCAAAGGTCTAGACCCTTGTTGGGTTTTTATTCATTTTAAAAACGTTTGTAAGATAGAGGTCATTGGAATGGGTGGAGCCCATTGACATGCTTGTAATCTGGCTCCTGGCTGGTGGGGGTGTACCTGGAAACAGAATCATCCAATGAATTCAAACACCTTTTTTCATCTAGAAATCGGTTTTACAGAATAGTCCAAAAGGGGCTCTTGGCCCAACTCTACGTTCCAGATGCTGTCAATGCTGAAGGGAGTATTTTTTTTGGACCAGTCGAGTTTATCTGCTGTGGACTTGAGAATTCACTTGTTATATTAATGGGGAAAATACGTTTTTTTTTTCACATTTTCCTATGGGAGGAGCCACTCGCATGTTTTGCAATTTTAAATGACGCTTGTGTTGTCATTCATTAAGACGTCTGTGAGATTTCATAACACTTTGAAGCAACTTTTGTTAAAGTTAAACTTCATCATTCTATCAATGTGCAGAAGCCTGTACTTTTCCACTTCATGTTTTGACTATCTCTGCTGGCACTGTGGCAGCTGCTGATTGGAGGTCTCCATGCCTCCGCTCTGTATAATACACTTGCATTCTGTTGTTCGTGCTGTCTCTACCATCGACAATAAAACATGTCTTCTGTCTGAATTAAAGACGCGATCCCAGACTTTGTCATCTTCTTCACGTCCAATGTAATTTGTTTATAATTATGAATAGAATTTGAGTAGACGGGCACAGTGCTGGATAAATATTCTTAAACAGAATCATAATAAGTCCATTACTCCTGCAGTTCAATCTCCTCTTCTCACCTTTGTTGGTTTCCTGTAAGAGCCCAGATGTAATTGTTCTCATTTTGGCGACAGTTATGGGGAGTTTAATGCATGTTATTCACTGCTGAGTGAAAAAGGGGACGAGGCTCCGGCCCGCCGAGAAGATATTTCACTTTTAATGAGATTTATGTCCGTAGGCTGAGCTCGTCACTCACGTGTGTCTTCATTAAATGTACCAACCGGCTCATATTACATTACAGCGTTATTAGTGGGAGATTCTTATTAGAGAGTGGATTCAGAGCTGTATGATCATGAGGAAAAGTCTGATTTCTTTGGTTTTTACAACGTCAAAAGGGTGTCCGTTCATCCAACAGACCTGGGACAATCCTTACATACACGGCTCTGTCCGATGCAGGATTTGTCTTTCAGGACCTTAACTCTTCCTTAACCCACAGACAGAAAAGTTGCAGCATCGATGTTTTTGTTTAGCAGTGCAAAAGCTTGATGGTAACACTAGCTGTGGATTAGAATCTAAAGTGAAGAAAAAGACAGTCTAGGATCGTGTCTTTGATTCAGACAGAAGACATGCTTTATTGTCGATGGTAGAAGCATAAACACAGACGTTACAGAATGTAAGTGACATACAGCGGAGGAACGGAGACTTATTAGCATTATTAGCATATTAACAAATATTAGCATTTGCCGCGATGCCAGTAGCTTCAACCTTGATATTACCAAAACATGTAGTGGAAAAATTCTGCCTTGTGCATATTGTTAGAATGATGAGTTAGAACGTTCACCACAGAAGCTTCACAGTGTCATGAAATATCCAGAAAAGCAAAAAAATAACTCTTGCTGACCTGACACCACTTCGTCAACCGGAAGTTTATGCGTCACGTGACTGCAAGCCAAGAATCAACCACAGCTCACCGACCCTTTAACTCACTGCCATTGACACATTTGTCTGAGACTGGTGATTTCTGTCAAACTTCCCTCTATTTGACTGGGGATTACTGGAGAACCAAAACTAGCTAAAAATAAACTTATTTTTGTTGATGAAAGTCGACAATGAATCTGGTTTCATATTTCACATAGTCTTAGCACATGATATTCAGTGAAATCCTCAAAAACGGCTGGCAGTCAATTAGTTTTAATATAACATGTTTACATTAAAATAGTGGACACACAAGAAAGAAAAAAACATCTGTAAAGTAATGATATAGTAAAGTATATGGATTATACAGAATGTTGAATGTAAAAACCCACAAAAACATTATACTTGGGTGAATCATTTGGTGTGTTGGAAAGACCGGTCGATCAAATAAATGCAGGCGACAAAAAAGTAAAAAATCAATAATGCCTTAATCTGTAAACTTGAAACAAAGCAAATATTCTGGACTGGGCTGGAGATTAGGTTATTTTTATTCTATTCATAAATGTGCAAAGTTGTGCAAGTTTTTCTGAATTCCTTCAAACATTTCCATGATCAGAAAACAGCAGATAGAAGAATATATTTTATTTTTCTGCCCCCTCTTTTACAAAACAGATGTAAATGGTTGAAATTGACACCAAAAGAGACTGAAGGTGGCGTCAGTGACAGACTGATCCACCCTCGCTGTGTGGAGGAGAGAATCTGTCCTTCCTGCAACTGTCAGACGGTACAATGAACATAAGCCATTGACTTCAATATTCTTGCAGTAGAATGTGTTACAGCTTTATCTTTATCTATAGAGTCTGTAACTATGATTCAACACTTACATATCCTTACTGTTGGTAGAATATGAAATCTCTTAATCTTAAAGACCTTATGCCGGGTTTGATTTATTTAGAAATACAGTTTTTAATACCATTTTATATTAGAAGAGAACTACTAAAGGTTTCAAAATCAGTTGTTGTTTTTTTTGTCTGATGCCCCCAAATCAAAATAACCCCATAGCAACGCCCTTAGAAACGAAAAAACTTCACAGCCCTTTGGTGACGTGTGGGTACGTTTTTCAACGCTGTAAGTTGTTTACAATTTGGGTATTCGGTATTTTTTCGCGGATATTCAAGATCAGCGAGCTGAGATAACTACTAGAATGTAACATTTTCGTTGTCACTCGAGATAGTCGCAGTGGTTGTGTCGATGACCCTGTCATCCAGATACTTGGGTTCCAAATCCCACCTCAGACACTTTTCTCAAACGTCAAATATGTGTAGTAGCAATTGTCCACCTGTAGAGGGCATGTATTGTGTTGGGCACAGTGGAAGAAGAGAGAAAAGTCAGTCCTGTTGGCATAGATCCCCATGGTTTTTCAATGCAATGGGCGTTACCCGCTTGACGTCACACACAGGTACTAGCCATAGACAGCTTAAATTCATGAAAAAACACCTTCTTATTTCTAAAATAAAGATTTTTTTGCCGGAATCTCTTTCAAATTGACATTGTTCCATGCAATTTTTGATATCCACTATTTTTTTTTGTGTGTTTAACCCGTCAAAAGGTCTTTAACAACTCCAATCTGCGGTCAGTCCCGCTTGAACCATGAAGAAGGTAACACAACAAACGTTTTTCTATTTGGTCATAAAGCATCATCCAGATCCATTGCTTTGGTCTGAGTCATGTTCAGCAGAGACTGTGGAAGCCCATTAGGAAACATCTGTTCTCATTACGAGTCAAGGTGCGAGAGACGTGACTGACGGCTCTCCCTCTCCCTCCCCAGACGCTTCCCCCGCCTCCGCATCATGTGACGCCTCGCTCTAATGGAACCCCTCATTAAAAACGCCGGGCTTTAGTGGAATCTGATGACAACTGGTAAACAGGAGCTTTGGGGCTTTGGGGACCGAGCCGAGGCTGGCAGCACCGGAGAAACTCAGTCAGTTTGGAGATCGCAGCCACGAGAAGTCCCAGAGCAGTCAATTTGACGGCCTTTAGTTTTAAGATTAAGATTAGGAGATTCTTTCTTGGTGGGGGATGTCAGGGTTGAAGTTACAGAACAGTAGGAATGAGGATAAATTAATAAGTCTAGACTAAAATGAATTAAAAACTCTATTGCCAGCATAAAATGTACTATATGAAATCTCTATCTTTAGCATAATAAAATGTCACGGGTACAGAAGAAAATGCAGGATTGCCCAAAATAAAGAGTTAAGAATGAAGAGTTTTGAAATTTTGCCCGAACATTGTTTTCCGTCTGTTAATGGCAAAGCACTAGAAGGAATTTGCGCAACAAGGGGTGAAACTTTAATTGTATGGCGCTAAAATAGATTAGGCTTTTCGCAAAACTACTCGGTAAAGAGAAAGTTGTAAGCCTTTCCGATATGTTTCCATGGCACTTATCTGTTTTTGGATATAAACTGTTCTAATATAGTAACATTTAATAAACAAAACTCAAAAATAACACAATCCGGGATGAAACAGGAATCCAAAATCAAACCACAGGGACCAGAGTACCATGGACTGACCACAGGGAGAGGAGCAAAGGGTTTAAATACTCACAGGGACACACAGGGCTGGGCAGGCAATCACCAGAACAGGAAGTACAAGGCAAAGACACAGAAGAACAAATACAAAATAAAACAGGAACTAAGAATGAAAACCACAACAGAAGAAGCAGGAGTTAAGTAAAAAACCCTGACTCAGCATATTAAGGAGCGAGTATCAAAGGTTTTTGTAAGTGTAGTGACTTAAAGGTACAGTATACAGGAGGATTTTCTGCTTCTGTCAATCATTCTGGTGATACGTGCTCGTCCAATCAGAGCAGAGAGTTTTGTTCAAAAAGTGGAGAGGGCGGTTCTTTCCTGACTCTACTATGCTACTAACATATGTACATTTTTGGTCTTCATAACTTTGTGACTTTTTCTGTGTCTTTAAACACAGATTTAATTTCTGTCTGATTCTGTATGTTAATTCATCCATCTATTTTTAATTTACAACCTGCTCACGGACTACGGCTGTGAATTAGCACTGCTTCTAACACTCCTTTTGGCTAATGTTTTATTGAACACTGTCAGTAGGTATGAATGTAATGAGAGAGTGAATGGATGGTGTTTGGTCGGAGGCTTTGATGGACCAGTGTGTTCGCCGACTCGCTTCGTCATCACCGTGTGGAGAGAATGGAACAATATCTGAACAATTGTGTGAACAAAAGTGCTTTGGGTGACCTTGGTCTGTAAAATGCGCTGTATAAAAAAACATTACTTACTAACTGTCCCCGTAAAACCATTGGTCCCATAGGGGGGGATGACCCAGTGTCCATGAATGTAAACAAAAGTCCTTAAAGAGCGACTAAACACCTGTGCCCCAGCCTGACTCCGCCCACATGAACAGCCTGACTCCGCCCACATGAACAGCCTGACTCCGCCCACATGAAGATTTGAACATTTTTCTCTAAAAAGGGCGTTGCCTGGAGGACCAAGGGACAAGAAGGGGGGCTTAGAGTTGGGCGTGGTCTGGGCTGTGATTGACAGCTCACTTGTCTCACTAAAAAAACAGACAGTTGTCATTGCTGCTTAAAGCAATAGTTTTACAGACCAGAAAGTCTCATTCCACCCTTGTTTACACACTAAGATAATGTAAAGCTACACACCTGAACCTAATCACACTCAATAATCTCAGAATGACTCATGTAATTTAATTTTAATCCACTAGATGGCGCCAGAATACTCAACTGCAGCTGGGGCGTGTGTGAGAGATGAATGGGTTCATATCACTGGCTCTGACAGACTGACGTCACACAAAACAACTGATGTCATAGAGAACTTCAGAGTCAATGGAGAGGCCAGGACCAAATTCAAATGTAGTACCACCAAAAAGGTTGAGAGGGCACCACACAGGCGTTTTTTGGCTCAAAAGTGATATTTTATCTAATTTGAACTAAAATGTCAAAAAAATGACCAGGATATGTAGACAGCACTACAATAAACATACTTATACAGTTTATGAGTTAAAAAAAGTTGATTTGGTGTTTAGTCGCTCTTTAAGTGACTCCCAGGGCTCTTTCTTATAAGGTTGCCAAAGAGAATGTGTTTTTATGAAGGTGAAGACGGCATGTTGTGGTCTGACTTATTTATGAAACACAAACTTTTGGTACCACAGTTTCAAGATAAAGTAATTGTTTACCTTTTATGGTGTTTCCACGTGTCGGAGGTTTACTCATCCCAGTCTGAAAAGAGAGAGACAGGTTAAAATGTGTACAGCCAAAATGCAAACAAACAAAACTAACAAAACAAAAAAAACAGGCAAATTATGTATTTGTTAAAAAAGTCCATTGACTCCTGTAATTCTTATAATGTTGATAATTCGCTCACAGTTTGTAAAATATCCCTAAATAAAACATCTTGGAATGATACAGTTCATAAGGATAGTAATAATGATAATAATAATAATACTTTTTTATTCATATGAAGCCTTTCTGGGCACTCACGGCTCCCTTACAAACAGTACAAGACTAAGATAAGATAAGAAAATATAAACTTTATTGATCTCACAATGGAGAAATGTACAATTTACTAGAAATGAGAATAGGCAATAATCCATAATCATTCAAATCATAAAAAGACATATGTCACTTTGTTATGAGTTATTTATTCATTTATATATTTTATTTTATTTGATAATATTATTTTTTTATTATTTGTATTCATTGTTTTAATTTAATGTTATTTATTTTATTTATTTTATTTATTTTATTTATTTTATTTATTTTATTTATTTTATTTATTTTGTTTATTTTGTTTATTTTGTAAAATAAACAAAGTAAAGTAAAGTAAGTAAAGGCAACTTAATGAAAGAAAGGAAAATCTATATTTATGAGTCGATCTCCTACTGAATTTCACATTTTAAGTCATTTACAGTCTATGATCAAATCACAGAAATAAATTCACTTTTAAACAATAATCAATTTTTCCGGCAACATGTCACTCCACAATAAAACTGAGTATAATATCGAGTCACTCTTCTACACACGGTAAATGATTTGAAAAAGCCCGGAAACACACCCACGCTTCACTAATGCGTGTGACTAATGTATGTGGTTGTTCTGGTCGCGGCCTAACGTCGGCACAGTCTGGACTCACTTGTGTGCTGCTGACGGGCGGAATGGACATCACAAAGTTATCAGGAAAGAAACCACAGCGTCCGTTCAGCTCCCCCTGCCACCAGCCCTCATCCTCTGTTTCCTTTAGACAAAAACAGGCAAAAAGAGACACAAAACTGGTGAGTATTAGCCTGGTCTTAACACACCATAGTACTCATTTCACTTCGTACTAAGGTCTGAATATGCTCCATTGACTCTGTTTCTAGGGTGGGAGGGGTTAACTCTATTTGCAGATTGAAACGATTGGATCTGAGTTTACCGTGACGTATGTAATGAGCCCAAGTGAGTCGTTAGCATTTAGCATTTAGCCTAGCTTTAGCCATCTCCTTTGCCACTAGCAGAGCCCGTGGGGAGTAGCGCCACAACATCTTTCCAGCAATGACATTTGCTAAACATTCGTCTGGCTCCGGCTTCAATTTCTTGATATTTGGAGTCGGACCAGAACAGATTACTTTACTGTCGCATTCTCCAAACTATTCTTTAATGTTTTGATGTTCAGGGCTATGCTACGCAAGGGCCTTCTTCAGAAAACACAGCACAATAAAACAAAATTATTATAAAACTCAGAAAATACCAATAAAAAAACAAGAACAGGAGAGGATGTCACAAAGCTTCAGTGCAAATATGTATAAAGTATAAAGTTCTATGAAAAGCCCGAGTACGTACAGTAACTCTCACACCTATATTTGTCATTGTGTTTGTTCAGTGACAAAGTGGTTCTGTGGAGTTGTGTTGATGAGTCAACACAACTCTACACAATAACAACACACCCCACATTTACAGAAACACTCTCAGTGATTATGTCTCCAAGTCGTGTTTGTTCAACTGGAACTCTGACTCCATCAACACTACATCACTGCACTGTAGTAGATTTTAAAAACTGTTTTCATGTTAAATCATCATTAAAGGGCCCTAATCTGTCATCATTAAAGGGCCCTAATCTGTCATCATTAAAGGGCCCTAATCTGTCATCATTAAAGGCCCTAATCTGTCATCATTAAAGGGCCCTAATCTGTCATCATTAAAGGGCCCTAATCTGTCATCATTAAAGGGCCCTAATCTGTCGTCATTAAAGGGCCCTAATCTGTTATCATTAAAGGGACCTAATCTGTCATCATTAAAGGGCCCTAATCTGTCATCATTAAAGGGCTCTAATCTGTCATCATTTAAGGGCCCTAATCTGTCATCATTAAAGGGCCCTAATCTGTCGTCATTAAAGGGCCCTAATCTGTCATCATTAAAGGGCCCTAATCTGTCGTCATTAAAGGGCCCTAATCTGTTATCATTAAAGGGACCTAATCTGTCATCATTAAAGGGCCCTAATCTGTCATCATTAAAGGGCTCTAATCTGTCATCATTTAAGGGCCCTAATCTGTCATCATTAAAGGGCCCTAATCTGTCGTCATTAAAGGGCCCTAATCTGTCATCATTAAAGGGCCCTAATCTGTTGTCATTAAAGGGCCCTAATCTGTTATCATTAAAGGGCCCTAATCTGTCATCATTAAAGGGCCCTAATCTGTTATCATTAAAGGGCCCTAATCTGTTATCATTAAAGGGCCCTAATCTGTCATCATTAAAGGGCCCTAATCTGTCATCATTAAAGGGCCCTAATCTGTCATCATTAAAGGGCCCTAATCTGTCATCATTAAAGGGCCCTAATCTGTCATCATTAAAGGGCCCTATTCTGTCAAAAGGCATTAATAAAAACTGGTCGTTCAGAGATATTTGGATTTCATAATTACTTTTCCAGTCCCTAAATCTTGTTATTGTTTTCATTTCGATGTCCCGCCCTCTACTTCTCCCGCTTCTCTCTCTCTCTGTGTTTCTCTCCCTCCCTCTCCCTCTCTCCCTCCCTCTCTCTCTCTCTCTCCCTCCCTCCCTCTCTCTCCCTCCCCCCTCTCTCTCTCTCTCTCTCTCTCTCTCTCTCTCCCTCCCCCCTCTCCCCCCCCCCCCCCCCCCCCCCCCCCCTCTCTCTCTCTCCCTCTCTCTCTCTCCCCCCCCCCTCTCCCTCTCCCTCCTTCTCTCTCTCTCTCCCTCTCCCCCTCTCTCTCCCTCTCTCTCTCTCTCTCTCAGAGTAATACCAAAGCATAGATGGTGAAACAGTCCTTACTTTACTGAGGACCACGACCACGTCTCCTTTCTTCAGCTCCAGTTCATCCTCAGCTTTCGGGACGTAATCAAACATCACTTTGCAGAACTCCACTTAAAAAATAAATAAAAAATACCACACATTACTTTTTCCCATTAAGACTATTTACTTATATACAGGTATATCATGTTTTTTTATTTATGTATTTTTTTATTTATATTTGTTTTTATTTATTTATTTATATTGGGACAACACACATTAATGAACAATCATATACAAGTTGTGCATAATTGTGCCAGATTATAAATAAAACTATGCTACGGATGCTAATTTTCGGATGCTGAAGTTACAGTTAAAATAAGTGCAGAACTGATTTTCTTTAATATGGTGTTTTTAAAAAATTATTTAATTATTTTTTTTTTTTAAGTTTGTCCCTTTGGTTCACCGAGGCTGTTTTTAAATGTGCTTTACAAAGATATATTCGGATGTGTATCAGGAGCAGGTTGTCTGGAAACAGGTTTGCTAACATGATAATGATCCAGCTGAAACTACAGAGCGGTGGCTGCGACTTGGAAACCTTAAAGGAGATATGTAAGTGGCAGGAAGTGCTCTGACAAACGAAACCAGCGTTTATAAAATCTTACATACGAATATTTTTTTACTTTTGTGCAGTAGAGACATGTGCAGAAAGACCTGATTTTATGACTACAATCTCATATGAAAATAAAAATATGTGTGTTTTCTCCCCAAAATGTATTGAAGTTGTGTAGCTGCAAAAACTGTGTCTTTTCCTTTTAATAATATTATCAGAATTATTATCATATCATCAGAATTTACATCACACAATTAATTGATGCCATGAGGTCAAAATTATCAAATTGAAGTCAGAAAATAACACAATATTAATACAATAATTTCATAAAATGTCAATAATAAAACAAAACTGTATAATTGTATATTTTCATTTATTGTTTTTGTTTTCATTCTTTTGTTGTTTTGTTGTTCTTTGTTCTTGTTTGCCATGGCTCGAAATAAAGTATTAATTCATTCATTAATTCAAGTTAATTCTCATAAATTTATCATATTATTGTAATAATATTTAAAATGTATTATCTTAAATTTACAAGATTAATCTCATAATATATCAAATTAAACCTCATCATTTAGAAAGATTTATCTAATAATTTTTCAATTTTATTCTGATAAATTTGCAAACTTAATCTCATAGCATTTCAAGATCAATCTAATACATTTAAAGGATCAATCTCATGTTAATTCAAGTTTATTATCATATTTTGACTAAATAAATTTGGATAATATTAGGAGAAAAATCATATAGCGTCAGCAAAAATAACTATAAACATAATTGGACGAGACTTATGCTCTGTGTTCTCTGTTGTGTTAAATAAAATAAAAACATACCGCTTTTAACTTTCTTCCGAACACTGGTTTGTTTTGAATTCTGTAACAAAGAAAAAAATACATGTGTTTATTTATATATACAAAATTAATGAAGCGAGAGAGAATTTCTATACTCTGTGAAACGGCCCTTACCCAAAGAGTATAGGTACTTTCATGCTCTTTGACTCACCCCTTTGGTAAAAACAGCGTTGGAGAGTTTGGGTCTGGATTTTCCCTCATTCGTCTTTGCGTCTGTGACATAAATGATTGATTGACAGCTTAGAATTGTGTGTGTTTTTGTTCAGATGTGTTGGATCTGCTGCACACACACCTTTAACAATAATCTCTTTGACAAAGTTGGAAGGAAACGCTCCAACTTTACCGTTTTTGATCCCCATCCACCATCCATCTTCAATCTGAACACATTTATGGATCGGTGACACACACAGTGAAAGACAGCATGGGTCACGCATACACACACACACACACACACACACACACAAACTCAGAACCTGTATTACTAGATTGACTTCAAAGCTTTGTGTGTCTGGAAATAACGTGTCCAGTGAGTGTTGAAGTCTCTTTCAGTATTTGGCCTCGGGAAACATTAAGTAACAACGGGCACAGTATCAGATTATCTTGGTCACTTTAACCTCCACAGACCAGCTTCAGCCATGGCCAGAGAGAAAGAAAACCAGGGCCCGGGTGCTATTTGCGGTCCTCTGTGCTGTTATGGTCGGCACTAGATCATATACGGAATCGGGACGAAACCGGAAGTAATAATTCTACTTTTGAATTAGTTTTAGACTAAAAAGTCCTTAAGTGGTGACTGGTTAAGTTTTAGGCGTCTGAGTAAGATGGTTAAGGTTAGGGTTAAGGGCGGGTTGGGGTTATTTTATGGGAATGGCTGGTTAAGTTTAGGCATTAATAGGTAGTTTGTTGTATTTACTTCCGGTTCCGTCCCGATTCCGTGTATGATCTAGTGCTGACCGTGCTGTTATCCATGGCCCTCGGCTATGCTAACCCATAATTAGCCAGAAGCATCCACATTTCTTGTCGTCATGCCAACTGTGGTAAAACAGACACGCGAGGCCTCACTGTAAAAGCCCAGGACTTCTCTCATGAAGATAATTATAATGTTTTACATCCAGCCAACTTCAGCACAGTCAAAAATGTATCATTGTGGATGCGTCATGCCTAATTTAGGACTCAGCCCTGCCATAGAGTCATAGAGTCATAGAGTCATAGTCATAGAGTCATAGAGCCATACATAAAGCCATAGAACCATAGAGCCATAGAGTCATAGAACCATAGAGCCATAGAACCATAGAGACATAGAGTCATAGAATCATAGAGCCATAGAGTCATAGAGTCATAGAGTCATAGATCCATAGAGTCATAGAGTCATAGAGCCATAGAGTCATAGAGCCATAGAGCCATAGAGTCATAGAACCATAGAGTCATAGAGTCATAGAACCATAGAGTCATAGAGTCATAGAGTCGTAGAACCATAGAGTCATAGAACCATAGAGTCATAGAGTCGTAGAACCATAGAGTCATAGAACCATAGAGTCATAGAGTCGTAGAACCATAGAGTCATAGAACCATAGAGTCATAGAGTCGTAGAACCATAGAGTCATAGAACCATAGAGTCGTAGAACCATAGAGTCATAGAACCATAGAGTCATAGAGTTGTAGAACCATAGAGTCGTAGAACCATAGAGTCATAGAACCATAGAGTCATAGAGTTGTAGAACCATAGAGTCATAGAACCATAGAGTCATAGAACCATAGAGTCATAGAGTTGTAGAACCATAGAGTCATAGAACCATAGATAAATGACTAATTAAAACAAATCTGTGATAACACAATAAAATAATAAAACAATGTGTGCATTAACTGCGTACACATAAAAATAACAGAAAAACAAAATGAAACAAAATCAAATCCCGACCTTTGCTAAATATCTATGGAGCTACACGTATAAATATATGTACATACTTTGATAGTAAAATCCAAGAAAAGACAATACTTTCTCTTGCATCATCCTCACAAAAGTATAAATACTGAGTCTGAAGTACCTCGTTCATGATCTCGATGACCTCCCCCGCACACAGCTCCAGCTCGTCGTGGTTCTGGGCGCTGTAGGGATAGACCACCTCACACCTCCGGGTCGGTTTGGTCTTTTTAGCTGGAAAACCATTAAAATATTAAATCACTATTGTACGAACATCAAGACTATTTGTCATAGAATCATAGAGTCATAGAGTCGTAGAACCATAGAGTCATAGAACCATAGAGTCGTAGAACCATAGAGTCATAGAGTCATAGAACCATAGAGTCGTAGAACCATAGAGTCATAGAGTCATAGAACCATAGAGTCATAGAGTCGTAGAACCATAGAGTCATAGAACCATAGAGTCATAGAGTCATAGAGTCGTAGAACCATAGAGTCATAGAACCATAGAGTCGTAGAACCATAGAGTCATAGAGTCGTAGAACCATAGAGTCATAGAACCATAGAGTCATAGAGTCGTAGAGTCGTAGAACCATAGAGTCATAGAGTCGTAGAACCATAGAGTCGTAGAACCATAGAGTCATAGAGTCGTAGAACCATAGAGTTGTAGAGTCGTAGAACCATAGAGTCGTAGAGTCGTAGAACCATAGAGTCATAGAGTCGTAGAACCATAGAGTCGTAGAACCATAGAGTCATAGAACCATCGAGTCATAGAACCATAGAACCATAGAGTCATAGAGCCATAGAACCATAGAGTCATAGAGTCGTAGAACCATAGAGTCATAGAACCATAGAACCATAGAGTCATAGAGTCATAGAACCATAGAACCATAGAACCGTAGAACCATAGAGTCATAGAACCATAGAGTCATAGAGTTATAGAGTCATAGAGTCGTAGAACCATAGAGTCATACTGTAGAACCATAGAATCGTAGAACCATACAGTCATAGAGTCGTAGAACCATAGAGTCGTAGAACCATAGAGTCATAGAACCATAGAGTCATAGAGACATAGAGTCCTCCCATAGACTATTTGTCCTCCCAATTGTCAATCATTCTGGTAGAGAGATTGATAGATACTTTGTTGATACCCCGTATGAGAAATTCAGGTGTCCAGCAACAGCCCTTATATGTCATGTGTGTTCGTCAAATAAGACCAGAAAGTTTTGGTTAAAAAGTGGGGAGGAGGTTCTTTCCTAAATGTTGGGAGAATCCATAAACCGCTTTGTGACTCTGGTCTGTGAAAGGCGGTATATAAAGATTACTTACTTACTATGTACATAAACATTCCCGTACATGTTCCCACCGCTGATGGGCCGGGCGGAGGTGGTGGGCGCTGGGCGGGCTTTGATGCTAACGAGTTTAAGCTAGCGGCTTTTTGTGTAAAGTTCCGTGGCCTTTCGGAGTCCAGAGACCCTCCAGAGACGTCATATATAACAGGAGTATTTGATCACAGCTGCGCCATGGATTAATGATATTATTAACCGGTACTTCCAATCGGCGAACACGTTAGAGAATGTCAACTCAGGATGGAGACATATGTTCACAAGCACCGATCCCCAGCTCTGGTTTAATCCTGTTTTTTTAATCCATGGAAACGCTTGAATGAATTGGGAAAAAACATGTTGCTTGTTACGGGGCGACAGTAGTAGAGCATTGGCCTTTGAACCTTAAAATCGTGGGTTCGAGCCCACCACGGGACCTTCTCCACCGACTCCCACTGATGTCTGCTGTTGTTGTGTCCTTAGGCAAGACACTTCACCCCCACTGCCAAGAATGAGTCTGGTGTGTGTGTGAATGGTTGGTGGTGGTGGGAGGGGCCGATGGCACAGACTGGTTGCCTCGCTTCTGTCAGTGTGCCCCAGGGCAGCTGTGGCTACAGTAGTAGTTTATCACCACTGTGTATGGAGTGAAAGAATAAGGACATGTGAAGCGTCTGAGTGTCCAAAAAGCTTACAACTTTGCATGTTCATAGAAAGACAAAAAAGAACCTGACCTAGAGTTTCGCTTTTCAACCCGAGGTCGAGCAGGCCCGAGGCCCGACCTGAGTTCGGGCCGGGCTCGGGCCTCATTTGGCGCTCAGCTGTCGGGTTCGTGCCGGGCTCGGGCTTCTTTTTTTAAATATATGTTTCTTTTTTATTATTATTATTATAATTATTTTTAAATGATTTTTATACATAATGATTTGCATATATATATATATATTAATAACAATGTCCGTTGATTGACAACAAGTTATTAAAAAAAGTGAATATATTAATGACACCGTAACCAGCGTGTCCTACAGCAGCAGCGAGCCGTGAACGCATCATCCCCGTGTCTCCTGCTGCTGTGGTCAACAGCGAACAGGAACAATAGTAGAAATGGATCAAGTGGAGACAAAACAAATTCAAAAGTGGAGACTAAACTTGCAATTGGAAGGTGAGTGCGTACAACGGGAAATCAGATGTGTCGGGTTCTGTCGGGCTCGGGCCTGTTATACAGCGTTCATTGGTCGGGCTTATACGGGCTCGGGCTTAACATTAGCGGGCTCGGGCCGGGTCGGGCTTCATTTTTCAGGCCCGAACGAAACTCTAACCTGACCTAACCTAGTTTAGTTCACATTTTGGGTGATTTCGATTTAATGCCTTCGTCTTCTGGTTTTGACCGGCTTGTGTCCATGTGTCCACTTTGCTGCTCTCTGATTGGTTGGCGCATGTGTGGAGCGAGGATGTTCGGTGAATCTTATACTACATTGCTGCATGTATCTAGCCGTCGTACCCACCGCCTTTACCTGCGGTGCAGCATTAAAACTCGCCACCACACGTGAACCAGTGTGATTAGACTGCTTCCCCCGTGGACCGGCAACGGATAAAGCAGAAGAAAACAGATGGATAGATGTATAAACCAATTTCAACATTGTTTTTTGATAATCTGTTGTGATGATCATCTTGCTTCCTATATTCCTTCTGTTAATGACGTTATTCGTGGCCATACTGTGATATCCCTAAGGTGGGACAAAGAAAGGTTCTCTTCTCAAAACATGGCCTTTAGCAAGAAGCTGAAACACAAGATTGGTATTTTGTGATGTCACATGAAGCCCTGCCTTTGTAATAAGCATCTCTGAGCCCTGCTAATATAATATCATATAACCAGCATTCACACGGATCACACAAGCAGAAGAATCAAGAATAGTCCATTACTTTGTCTAACACTGCGTGGCTCCATTTTGGCATTGCCTCTTAAATAGGCCGGCACCTCCTGCAAAAAACACACAACATTTCAAAATCCAACATGGCACACATTGAGACAAAACTGAGAAGCTTCACAGATTCTGACCTTGACAAAGGTAGCGGGAAACATGCCCTTCTTTCCCCGCACTTCCCCGTGCAGCCATCCCTCCTCTGCGCTCTTGGACACATTCTTCACCACATCGCCGGTCTTCACCGAGAGCTCGTCTGGCATGGTGCCCTCAAAGTCCAACAGCACCAGCACCTCTGCAGAAAGTTACACCCCCCAGCTTTACTTTGGATGTGCCCTGACACTCACACAAGCCAAGCCAATAATATTTGTAATGAATGGTTCTCCCTATAGTCCAACATGTGTCTAATAGTGCAGGGAGAGATCAGATTCCTGTCTAAAAACTGTGTGGGAATCTATTTGAATGACAGGAAATGAACTTACCCATGTTTTGTCAGTGGTGCTTTCTCCTCAGATCTTTGTCAAAGCAGCGAGTTTAAAATAACCACTAAAAAAGACTGTTCCTTCTGTGTCAAATATTAACATTGAGCAACTTGGCAAGACATGACACGCCACAGCCAAGAAGTGGGCTGGGTCTGAGAAACAGGGAGAGAGAGAGGGAGAGACTGAGAAACAGAGAGAGACTGAGAAACAGAGAGAGAGAGAGAGGGAGAAAAGGAGGAGATAACCAGGGAACAGGTCGGACTAGTTTATTGTAGGAACAAAGCTCAAGTATGACCAAAGAAAGAGAACATACATAACACCGCTGTCCTGTAACCTTGAATCTGGTTTGCACTTTGTGTATGTAAAAAAAACAAGAAAAAAAGCAGAAGTTATGAAGCAAGCTGGGACTTTGCAAAACATAATTTTGAGAAGTTGAAAATTATGCTAAACATATACGATGTGTTTTGACGCATGCATGTGTCATACCAGCCACACTTGGTTTCTGTGTGTGTGTGTGTGTGTGTGTCTGTGTGTGTGTGTGTGCGTGTCTGTGTGTGTGTCTCTATGTGTGTGTGTGTGTGTGTACGTGTGTGTCTGTGTGTGTGTGTGTGTGTGCGTTGCGTGTGTGTCTGTGTGTGTGTGTGTGTCTGTGTGTGTAACAATACTGTTAATATAGAGAATGACAAAATGACAGATAAAAAGTCCTAACACTGATTAAATGATGGAAAGTTTAATTTAACCTGTAAACAAAGAGTTATAGACAAGAAATTATTTGCAGTAAAAGTAACAAACAGTAGACGGTAATAAATGCATAATGAATCTTTACAGCCGCAGCCACAGCCGCAGCCACAGCCTCAGCCACAGCCTCAGCCACAGCCTCAGCCGCAGCCTCAGCCACAGCCGCCCCACAGCCTCAGCCTCAGCCACAGCCGCAGCCACAGCCGCAGCCGCAGCCACAGCCTCAGCACAGCCTCAGCCACAGCCACAGCCTCAGCCACAGCCACAGCCGCCCCACAGCCGCACCACAGCCTCAGCCAGAGCCACAGCCACAGCCTCAGCCACAGCCACAGCCTCAGCCTCAGCCACAGCCACAGCCGCCCCACAGCCGCACCACAGCCTCAGCCAGAGCCACAGCCACAGCCACAGCCACAGCCTCAGCCACAGCCTCAGCCTCAGCCTCAGCCACAGCCTCAGTCTCAGCCACAGCCACAGCCACCCCACAGCCGCACCACAGCCTCAGCCACAGCCACAGCCTCAGCCACAGCCACAGCCACAGCCACAGCCGCAGCCGCAGCCTCAGCCACAGCCGCAGCCGCAGCCACAGCCTCAGCCTCAGCCACAGCCTCAGCCACAGCCACAGCCGCAGCCTCAGCCTCAGCCACAGCCACAGCCGCAGCCACAGCCGCAGCCACAGCCACAGCCACAGCCTCAGCCACAGCCTCAGCCACAGCCACAGCCGCAGCCACAGCCTCAGCCGCCCCACAGCCACAGCCACAGCCTCAGCCGCCCCACAGCCTCAGCCACAGCCACAGCCTCAGCCACAGCCTCAGCCACAGCCACAGCCTCAGCCGCCCCACAGCCTCAGCCACAGCCACAGCCTCAGCCGCCCCACAGCCTCAGCCACAGCCACAGCCTCAGCCGCCCCACAGCCTCAGCCACAGCCACAGCCTCAGCCGCCCCACAGCCTCAGCCACAGCCACAGCCTCAGCCACAGCCGCTCCACAGGTCTAGTGTGACCTGGCTTTTACATGCAGGCACCACTCCTGCACACGGCCTCACACACGACTGACTCTACGACCAAAACAATCAGAGAATTTACAGCCGTCATCTCCTATAGATGTGTCCTGTCCACTAACGTCAAATAACTAATAACAACATCTTAAAATACTTAATACTGGGAACTAACAACACAAACTGTTGTTTTGAACGTTTCTGATGGATCACCTTTAAGATGCACTAAAACAACAATGACTAAAATGAGAAGTTTACCAGATTATAACCATAGACTAGTAAACAAACATACACAGAATGTAGCCCAAAAATATTTTTTTCTATCTTTTAGTTTATTTTAATTCAACATATTACTGATTGTGACGGGCCATAAAGCACACAACAGCTATTTACATTGTACTTCATATAAACATACATTTCACACACACACACACACACACACATATATAGCCCTTGCAAAAACCACAATTATTATTTTGGAGCGGGCCGATAAGAATAGACCAATTGGATTCGTTCATCTCCAACGAACCAATGGGATGTGTTTACCCCCTTCACCCTCTTCCTGTTTCTCATGATCGCACCGGAGTTATCGGATTTTCTAAACCCTAAAAAGGCTGAACAGAAAATGCCAATTTCACGTTTGCTTCACTCTCCCTGTGACAAAGGAAAGAAAATGCTGGATGTTTGGTTTGGTGGAGAGGGAGGGGAGGGGGGAGGGGGAGTGGTTTTGGTGGAGAGGGAGGGGAGGGGGGAGTGGTTTTGGTTTGGGCCTAAACTGATTGAAAAGCTCATGTCTCTGGGTGTAAGTGTTGCCATGTGTAAATGGATTTTTAGCTTTTTAACTGACAGATCTCAGAGAGTGAAAATCAATGAGTGTTTTTCTGATGTTGTTTCTGTGAGCACTGGATCTCCTCAGGGATGTATTTTGAGTCCTTTGCTTTTTACTTTGTACACTCACGATTGTGTGTCCTCCTCTGACTCAAACTTGATCATCAAATATGCTGATGACACCACCATCATCGGTCTCATCAGTGACACTGATGAATCCTCTTATAGAGCAGAGATACAAAATGTGGTTCAGTGAAACTAACAACCTCCAGCTGAACGCATCCAAAACATGTGAACTGGTCACGACTTCAGTCACAATAGTTCTCATTTGCCTGTCGTAATCGACAACTCCCAGGTGCAGATCGTAGAGAAGTGCAAGTTTCTGGGTTTAACTCTGTCTAACCTGAAATGGGTTAAAAACACTGACCGAGTCGTTAAGAAAGCTCGTCAGCGTCTCTACTTTCTGCGTAAACTTAGAGAATTTACCACTAACTCTAAGATTCTGCTTAACTTTTATCGCTGCACCATTGAGAGTTTACTTGTTGGTTCTGTGTCTGTGTGGTTTGGAAACATCACAGATAAAGAAAAGAGAGCTTTAAACAAGGTGCTCCGCTCTGCAAAGAGGACCGTGGGCTGTGAGACCAGAGAGAGACCAGAGAGAGACCAGAGAGAGACCAGAGAGAGACCAGAGAGAGACCAGAGAGAGACCAGAGAGAGAGACCAGAGAGAGACCAGAGAGACACCAGAGAGAGACCAGAGAGAGACCAGAGAGAGACCAGAGAGAGACCAGAGAGAGACCAGAGAGAGACCAGAGAGAGAGACCAGAGAGAGACCAGAGAGAGACCAGAGAGAGACCAGAGAGAGACCAGAGAGGGACCAGAGAGAGACCAGAGAGAGAGACCAGAGAGAGAGACCAGAGAGAGACCAGAGAGACACCAGAGAGAGACCAGAGAGGGACCAGAGAGGGACCAGAGAGAGACCAGAGAGAGACCAGAGAGAGACCAGAGAGGGACCAGAGAGGGACCAGAGAGAGACAGGAGAGAGACCAGAGAGAGACCAGAGAGACACCAGAGAGAGACCAGAGAGGGACCAGAGAGGGACCAGAGAGAGACCAGAGAGAGACCAGAGAGAGACCAGAGAGAGACCAGAGAGAGACCAGAGAGAGAGACCAGAGAGAGACCAGAGAGAGACCAGAGAGAGAGACCAGAAAGAGGACCGTGGGCTGTGAGCTTCTTGTTCTGGAGGTTCTTTATAAATCCAGACTTTTAAACAAAGCTCTTAGGATTGTTAATGACTCTTCTGGCCACCCTGGGAAAGCCATGTTCCAGCTTCTTCCCTCTGGCAGAAGATATCGTTCTCTGAGATGCAGGACATCTCGTTACGCTAACAGTTTTTATCCACAAGCTGTTATCAGTGTGAACAGAGAGCACTTTAATGATTTGCACTTGTTTAGAAACTGTTTTAGTCGATCGATTTCACAGTGAAACTTGTTTACTGTTTTAAATTTGAGAGTATTTTAATCCACTAATAAAAAAGCCTTGTCCAATCGAGTTTTTAGACTCAAGATTCATTCCTAATAAAGAGCAGCTTCAGTGACAGACTTATCCACCCTGGCTGTGTGAAGGAGAGGTTCCGCAGGTCTCTCCTTCCTGCTGCTGTCAGACTGTACAATGAGAACTGCTGAGCCTGTAAATATCATTCATCTTAAAATAGTAAATACTAGAATCATGTGCAATCCTGCCCTGTTACAGTTTATGGATATTTGAAAGATTGATATTGAAGCATCTACAGCTAGCTAAGAAACGTTGTATTGTGTATTTTTGTCCTGTCTGTGCGCTGCAACACTGACATTTCCCCATGCAAACAATGGACATCTCTGTAGTTTATGACACAGGTGAATACATCTGTAACCTCTGAGCTAGTTTATCATAATATGTTGCAATATTCCGGTAATATTAGTATACAGTGGCTCAGTTTGAGGTCATGGGTTCGAGCCCAACGTGAGACCTTCTTCACCGACTCCACTGATGTCTGCCGGCATTGTGTCCTTGGGCAAAACACTGAACCTAGTTTGCCTTTAAGGAGCACGGAAGTAATGTACGCTGCATGCTTATTTACAGTGTGTATTCGTCAACAATGAAATTTCCGCACTGTGGGACAAATCTTCTGCTTCTTCTTCTTCTACTTCTACTTCTACTTCTTCTTCTTCTTCTGCTTCTGCTTATGCTTCTTCTTCTGCTTCTTCTGCTTCTGCTTTCTTCTTCTTCTTCTGTTTCTTCTTCTGCTTCTTCTTCTTCTGCTTCTTCTTTTTCTGCTTCTTCTTCTTCTGCTTCTTCTTCTTCTGCTTCTTCTTCTGCTTCTTCTTCTTCTGCTTCTTCTTTTGAACCTGCTTCTTCTTCTTCTTCTTCTTCTGCTTCTTCTTCTTCTTTTTCTGCTTCTTCTTCTGCTTCTGCTTCTTCTTCTTCTGCTTCTTCTTCTTCTTCTTCTTCTTCTTCTTCTTCTGCTTCTTCTTCTTCTTCTTCTTTTGCTTCTTCTTCTTCTGCTTCTTCTTCTTCTTCTTTTGCTTCTTCTTCTTCTGCTTCTTCTGCTTCTTCTTCTTCTTCTGCTTCTGTTTCTTCTTCTTCTTCTTCTTCTTCTTCTTCTTCTTCTGCTTCTTCTTCTTCTGCTTCTTCTTCTTCTTCTTCTTCTTCTTCTCCACGACACACGTCTGCATTCTGTCGTAAATCTCTGCACTTGTGGACGCACAGGAATCTCACACACCTCTTTAAACAGCATGGGGGGGTGGGTCACTGATCGTCCACTTCAGATAGGACCACCACCACCTCCACCACCATCAAAGCCCTCTCTCCAGACCCCAGCACCACCTCTGCCTCCTGCCCAGTGTCCAGGCCCCGTCCCTGGGTTTATCTGCTCAGTAACAGCCCTGCTCCTGGAGGCAGCTGCTCTCAGATGGCACAAATGAAAGGACAAAATGTGATCCCTTTCTCCAAGCCGTACAAGCTCCCAACAGCCCCCCAGAGAGACCCCGGCCTCTCAATGCTGCTCATTCTCAGTCTTAACACTTTAGAAGCTGGTTCTCAGAGAGGCAGCTGCAGAAGAACACATCTATACACTGCAAAAATAGAGGGAAAATGAATCAAAAATGTCTCAAATTGTGTTAAATGTATCTTAATGTGAGCAGATTCTGACTGCCTTAAAACAAGATTTACTAATGGGACAAAGCAAAATGACCTTGGAATGAGAAAGTAAAGCAACAGTTCTTGAAATAAGTCTTTATGGCTTTGTCCCATTGAAGAATCTGGTGTTCACACAGTCCAAATCTGCTCAAATTAAGATAAAAACCACTCCATTTAAGCAATTATTACCTCGGGTTTGATCAGTTTTTGCAGTGTACTGACTCGGTCTTGAGGCTTTACGGCAAAAAATAATAAAATATGAAGTAATAATTGTTTAAATCAAGTGGTTTTTATCTTAATCTGAGCTCACTCTGTTAAATCTAGATTGGACAGTGGGACAAAGTACAGTGGTTTTATTTCAAGAACTGTTGCGTTTTTCTTGTATATTTTAAAAAAAAGATTATTTTGCTTTGTCTCGTCGGAAAATCTTGTTTTAACACTTTAATATTTTTCTTAACCATTTGATGAAACACTTTTTGAGTCACTATTTCTACTTGAATCTGAACTGAAATCTACCGCTTCTACCATCAAACTGCATCTCAACCCTGTGACAGATTGATATTAGTGCTCCTAAATCTTAGAAAATCAGAAAAGAGACATTTAGATTACTGTCTTCAAGAAGTGAACAGCAAAGGGTTAAGTCTGAGTCAGAATCTGCTCAAATGTATAAAATATTTACCCACATTTTAGCCTTTTTGAACTTATTTTCCATCACTTTCTGCTGCGTACCGACTTGTAGCTGTAGTTTTTATGGAGGTAGTTGGTGAGTAATTTATGGATGCATCTGCCTGGCGCTCGGCTGGTATTGAAACGCCTTCGTTCACAGCTCACAAAATGGAGGCCGGCAATGATAAGAGTGGGTTTTATTTGGTTGTGATGTTGGATCGGTACAAACACAGACTAATCCCATAAAGACAGAACATTTATCACTTCAGACCGGAGCTGGGGTTTTGTTTTCGCTACCGAGCTCGTAACGTTGGAGTGGGACAGACGCGAGGCAGCTGTGAATATGATCCAGGGCGCTCCACCTTCAAACACATTTATGGACTTTATCAACATTTATAAGTCGGCTCCTCTCAGCAGAATAACGCTCCATTTGAGGGTAATCTCAAAATGTTTTACTGCTCAAAGCTTTGACTAATCCCTGTACGACTGAGAGACTACACAAATGTATCGTTAAGATTAAGATGAAGAGATCCTTTATTCGTCCCACAGTGGGGAAAGGTCAGTGTTGCATCACAAGAGCAGTAAGAAACAGACTGATGACAGACTGATGACAGACTGATAACAGACTGATAACAAACTGATAACAGACTGATAACAGACTGATAACAGACTGATAACAGACTGATAACAGACTGATAACAGACTGATAACAGACTGATGACAGACTGATGACAGACTGATGACAGACTGATAACAGACTGATGACAGACTGATGACAGACTGATGACAGACTGATGACAGACTGATAACAGACTGATAACAGACTGATAACAGACTGATAACAGACTGATAACAGACTAATAACAAACTGATAACAGACTGATAACAGACTGATAACAGACTGATGACAGACTGATAACAGACTGATAACAGACTGATGACAGACTGATGACAGACTGATAACAGACTGATAACAGACTGATAACAGACTGATAACAGACTGATGACAGACTGATGACAGACTGATGACAGACTGATAACAGACTGATGACAGACTGATGACAGACTGATAACAGACTGATAACAAACTGATAACAGACTGATAACAGACTGATAACAGACTGATAACAGACTGATAACAGACTGATGACAGACTGATGACAGACTGATAACAGACTGATGACAGACTGATGACAGACTGATGACAGACTGATAACAGACTGATAACAAACTGATAACAGACTGATAACAGACTGATAACAGACTGATAACAGACTGATGACAGACTGATGACAGACTGATAACAGACTGATAACAGACTGATAACAGACTGATAACAGACTGATGACAGACTGATGACAGACTGATGACAGACTGATGACAGACTGATAACAGACTGATGACAGACTGATGACAGACTGATAACAGACTGATAACAGACTGATGACAGACTGATGACAGACTGATGACAGACTGATAACAGACTGATAACAGACTGATAACAGACTGATAACAGACTGATAACAGACTGATAACAGACTGATAACAGACTGATAACAGACTGATGACAGACTGATGACAGACTGATGACAGACTGATGACAGACTGATAACAGACTGATAACAGACTGATGACAGACTGATGACAGACTGATAACAGACTGATAACAGACTGATAACAGACTGATAACAGACTGATGACAGACTGATGACAGACTGATGACAGACTGATAACAGACTGATGACAGACTGATGACAGACTGATAACAGACTGATAACAAACTGATAACAGACTGATAACAGACTGATAACAGACTGATAACAGACTGATAACAGACTGATGACAGACTGATGACAGACTGATAACAGACTGATGACAGACTGATGACAGACTGATGACAGACTGATAACAGACTGATAACAAACTGATAACAGACTGATAACAGACTGATAACAGACTGATGACAGACTGATGACAGACTGATAACAGACTGATAACAGACTGATAACAGACTGATAACAGACTGATGACAGACTGATGACAGACTGATGACAGACTGATGACAGACTGATAACAGACTGATGACAGACTGATGACAGACTGATAACAGACTGATAACAGACTGATAACAGACTGATGACAGACTGATGACAGACTGATGACAGACTGATGACAGACTGATAACAAACTGATAACAGACTGATAACAGACTGATAACAGACTGATAACAGACTGATAACAGACTGATGACAGACTGATGACAGACTGATAACAGACTGATGACAGACTGATAACAGACTGATGACCGACCTCTCAAAACTCAATGGCCGCTGCCCTTGATCTTTCAGCGGGGGCTTCAGACAAAGTGGGGTTCAGTGCAAAGTGGGGTTTAGTCCACAGTTCAGGACGCAGTGTGTCTGCGTCTGCGTCTGTGTGTGTGTGTGTGTGTGTTTCTCTCTCTCTGTGTGTATGTTCTCTCTCTCTGTGTGTGTGTCTCTCTCTCTGTGTGTATGTTCTCTCTCTCTCTCTGTGTGTCTCTCTCTCTCTGTGTGTATGTTCTCTCTCTCTGTGTGTGTGTCTCTCTCTCTCTGTGTGTATGTTCTCTCTCTCTGTGTGTGTGTCTCTCTCTCTGTGTGTATGTTCTCTCTCTCTCTCTGTGTGTCTCTCTCTCTCTGTGTGTGTGTCTCTCTCCCTCTGTGTGTTTGTGTGTCTGTGTGTGTGTGTGTCTCTCTCTCTCTCTGTGTGTATGTTCTCTCTCTCTGTGTGTGTCTCTCTCTCTCTCTCTGTGTGTGTCTCTCTCCCTCTGTGTGTTTGTGTGTCTCTGTGTGTGTGTGTCTCTCTCTCGTTCTGTGTGTGTGTGAGTATGTGTGTCTCTGTGTGTGTGTGTGTGAGCGTGTGTGTCTCTCTCTGTGTGTGTGTGTGTGTGTCTCTCTGTACGTTTGTCCCTGTGTGTGTGTCTCTCTCTGTGCGTTGGTCCCTGTGTGTGTGTCTCTCTCTCTCTGTGTGTGTGTCTCTGTGTGTGTGTGTGTTCTCTCTCTCTTTGTGTGTCTCTCTCCCTCTGTGTGTGTCTCTCTGTGTGTGTGTCTCTCTCTCTCTCTGTGTGTCTGTGTGTGTGTGTGTTCTCTCTCTCTCTTTCTGTATGTGTCTCTGTGTGTGTGTGTGTCTCTGTGTGTGTGTGTGTGAGTGTCTCTCTCTCTCTGTGTGTCTCTGTGTGTGTGTGTCTCTCTCTGTGTGTGTGTGTGTCTCTCTCTTTGTATCCCTCCCTCTCTTTATATGAGTGCGTCTCTCTCTCATTGACATCAGTGAGAGTCAAGAGGTAGGTCTCATGGTGGACTCAAACCCACAACCTTCAGGCCCAAAGGCTCTACCAACTGAGCCACTGTCGCCGCCAAATAAAAACATCAACAGAAACCATAATCATAAACATTATAAGAAAAAAGGATTAAAATGTGTCTCTCTGAATGTAGCAGGTCTGTATCCAAAGCTCAGATCCGAGCTCTAATCCTAAAGTGCATTTTATTACTATTATTTGCTACGTTTAGAATTATGTTTTAATTAGTTTTGTTCCTCACAGTTTCCAGGTCCACGCTGGTTATTTTTTTACAGCACATGTTTTTGAAAGTCTCCCAATGATTATTTTTGAACAGGTTTTGTCTCTTGAACTCTGTGCCCTCACCGTAGACAAGGAGTATTCTGTTTAAGACTCCGGAGCGTGAACGTTTGGGGGCGTGGCCTGAGGTTGTATGTATAGCTGTAGAAGACATGGCACCTCTGGGACATACTCTACTCCCATTGGTCCGTTCTCTTTTTACTGCTGCCTTGTTTGTTTCATATTTGATATTTGACATATTTGACACGTTCGAAAAATCTG